GTCTCATGGCCCCTTCCCAGCATGCAGGCCTTCTTTCTCAGAAGGCCGAAGTCTCATTCCAAATTTGGGAGACAAAGGACTGGAAAAAGTATAAATAAAGAGAGTGTCCTCCATATTGGGGGCCCAGAATTTGAAAGACACATTTTTCTCTGGGCCTCCACAGAATTTAATAATAAAATGTAACTCCTGTAGTTTGCGCTGCAGTTCAGCCCTCTGCTTCGGCAGGGTGCTGTAACTGTAGTCAGCTGGCCAGCTTAATAAAGGCTCTTAAATTTAAATTCTGAGTCAGTGGTCTATCTCGCTGAGTGAACCCATAACACCACTTTATTTTTTTGTTTTGTTAATCTTCACCTGAGGATTTTTTCCCCCATTGATTTTTAGAGAGAGTGGAAGGGAGTGGGAGAGACACAGAGAGAGAAACATTGATGTGAGAGAGACACATGGATTGGTTGCTTTTAACCTGGGGCAAGGGATGGAGCCTGCAACCAAGGTACATGCCCTTGACCGGAATCGAATCTGAGACCCTTCAGTCCACAGGCCTATGCTCTAACCCCTGAGGAAAACCAGCCAGGGCAGCCAGCCCCACTTTCTGTCACACTTTACAGAGCACTTGCCAGTACCAGGGGGGATGCTGAGTCTTTATGTCCTCAGTTGCTTTGTGCCCGTGTCCCCGCTCACCAGAGTGTTCAGGGCCGGTCGTGACCCTTGTGGCATTTTCAGAGGTGGACCCATGGGGGCATGAGGTTAGTGCTCAGACTAGAGCGGATGCGGGTGGAACCACTGTCCCCACCTGCAGCTTACACTCGCTGCTCATGGCTCAAGGCCTCCTGAGCCTTTCAGATGATGCCCGGGCCACGTGGAGATCAGTGGACTGTGTTGTTCTGCTCCGCGCAGAACTGCAAGCCCAGTGAGGGAGGCAGCAGGCCTATCTCCTGGTGCCCTTTCAGAGAGCCTGGCACTCGAGGTGGCCCACAAAGGTTTGGGGCTGGAATGGGACCCGGAGATGTTAGGGCGCACACCGTGAGCGCCGGGTGCGACCAGCCTACTGCTTTCTCTCTGTCCAGGGCTGTTTCCCTCCCCTGGCAGAGCGCTGGGGACCGGAAGTGCACTGCCCACCACTGCTGGGGATGCTGGTCCCTCACAGCCTGCTCTGATCCCGCCCCAGAGTGGCTTTCCACACATGTGGGAAATTGAGGCTCAGAGAGATGAAGTAAACACCCCAGCACTGCAGCCTCGGAGAGGTGGGGCAGCCTTTGACCCCGGGCCCCACTGCCCCTGGGGGCAGATGTGATGGGGGTGAAGCAGGTACACAGGGGAATCTGACTTCAACTCAGTCTCCCTTCTTGGTTCATTTTACGGCATCGCTTAACCTCGCTCAATCCTATTTGCAGCTTCGGCCTCCAACGCTGATTCCAATCAAAGGTCTCGCAGGCCTTTTCTCCAAGATCCTGGGCTCCCAGTAGTGGGCAGGGATGCGGTGCTTGAAATAGCCGTCTGGGCTGCCGGCGCTCTCCCTGCATCCTGTGTCCCACACAAGCACATCGCCAGCGCCAGCTCCCAGCCTCCTCCGGGCTCAGGGCAGGCTCTGCCCAGGCTTCCAGTTCCCTGCTGGCCCTCCCCCTCCCCCCCTCCCCCACAGAAGCTTGGCCACAGGTGAGAAGCCCACCCCCTTCCCTGCTCTGTGGATTGGAAGCTAATGGCATTTCCTCTGCCACTGGCTCCTGCAGAGGGGCCGGTCCCTGCTGCTCTCAGCCGCCTCCGGCAGCAGAGGAGGGAATAAATTGCAACGAGGCCAGCGGAGAGTGAACCTAATGAGCAGGACAAGGACTGGAACCCGAGACAGAGGCTTGTGCTAAACAAGCAACACAGAAATGAACGCCCCAGCAAAGCAGGGAGGAGCGCAGTCCAGGGCCTGGGCAGCCAGCAGCCAGGAGCCCCTGGGAGATCTACTTCTCTCTGGGGGTGTGGCTCTGGGTCCTGAAGGAGGACCCCAGTGAGGACCCCAAGGACTGGGGGTGTGGTTTCCTGTACCCTTCCCTGCCCTCCCTCCCTCTTGCCCACAACACCCACTCAGAAGACTTTTGGAATCCCGTGTCATCTGCACCATGGGGAGACTGGAGTGGGTGTGGGAGCACCGCCCCTCCCTGTCCCTCTCCAGGCGCCTTGTCAGAGTTCAGGACAGTCACTGCGCCGTGACCTGCTCGGCTCGCCGGCAGCTGAACAAGCCCAAACACAGGTCACGGAGCAGAGAGAGATTCATCATTTTCAGCCAAGAAGGTGCTTATTTCAGCAACAAATTGATAGGTGTCAGGAGACAGGTCCCAGCTTGCGGTGTCTTCTGTGGGCAGTTGGGGGGGGGGTGCGGTGTCCACACTCATCAGAGGCCTCCTGCCACCCACCAGTGTCACCAGAGGGAGGCGAGGGGTCCCTAATGGGGCGGCTTCAACAGTGTCTTTGTCCGGGGCAGTTTGCTTTCCTAGTTTCCTTTAAAAACCCTTCCTCTGTGCAGAGAAGAGACTGCGTCCCCTAGGCGACAGCTGTGCACCTTCGGGCCTCTGGGTCCCAGGGCGTCTGGTTGACTATTTATCATGCTTCTGGCTGGGTCGGCCTACTCCCCCTGACAGGAGGAGCCTCTCTCTGTTCGGGGAAAATGCCTTGTTGAGTACCTTGGTGTTGAAGGTGAGATATTGGCTGGAGCTCAAGCAAACAAACAAAAACATGACAACAACAAAATGCTCCCTCAGGCTGGCTCTTGGCTGCCTCTAAGCTCATCTCACACCGCCCTCACCTCATTCCACTGCAGGGCCCGGCCACACAGGGCTGACCACAGGGCCTTAGCTCCTGCTGCTCTTTTGTCTGCAGGCCCTTCAGTACCCCGTCTGCTGACTCCCTTCTTCCCTCCCTGCAGGTATCTGAGAGCTTTTTCTAACTGGCCTCAAGCGCACAGCACAGCTCTGGCATACGGGAGGTTGCAGTGGAGTAGACGAGGTGCTCCGTGATTGCTTGTTGGACGAATAAAGAAGGTTTATGTTCCTTGGCATGAGAAAATGCTAGGAGTTAGATTTTGCTCTTGAAAGGGAGAGGGAGGGGCAGAGGAGGGACCAGGTGGATAGCGGGATGGCCCTTTAAGGGGGAGATACCTAACATTCAATCTGAAGGTATTTAGTTATTTCCAGGTCACCCGCTCCTCCATCTCCTCTTTCTAGAATTCAGGAAAGCCTATTGCAGCATGGGTCTACGTACAGATTGTGTGTGTGGGTGTGTGGGTGTGGGAGGGGCGTGTTTGTGTTTGTGAATTGAGAAGAGGCTGAGTTTGTATCGGTCCAGAGCAGGGGTCTGACGAGGGACTGGGGGTTGGCAGATGCCATGGGCTTCTATGGCGCTGCCGGCCAAGCTCATTATGGGACAGGGAGGACGCAGTACGCCCTGGTTACAGGGTGACCCTTGTGCAGGGAGCAGAGGGAGGAGGTCAGAGCCCCGTGCGGAGTCTGCGGAGGGCACAGGAGAGGCAACCGGTCCTGTGTGCCCCGCTCTGGTTCTACTTTGGTTGGTGGATCTTGGCCTGTCTGGGCCTTTGTTTTATATACAAAATCAAGACTTAGGATCACATGTGATCTTTAACCTCTTCCTAGCGTTAGTGCTCTATTTTTAGATGGAGTTTTTCAAACAATTATTTTTATTAATTTTGTGAGCCTCCGTTCGCTGGAAAATGAGGATAATCCTCTGTCCCTGAGAGTTGTTGGGAGGCTCAGCTGAGATCATGGTCAGAAGTGGACTTTGAAACTAAATCTGAAAGTGTTGTTTTTTTTTGAATATTTTTATTGATTTTAGGAAGGGAGAGGGAGAGAGAGAAATATCAACGATGAGAGAGAATCATTGCTTGGCTGTCTCCTGCAAGCCCCCTACTGGGGGATCGAGCCTGCAACCCAGGTATGTGCTTTTGACTGGAATCGAACCCGGAACCCTTCAGTCTGCAGGCCGATGCTCTATCCACTGAACCAAACCAGCTAGGATTCTTGTTAGGATACTATCCAAATGGGGATCTTGTGTTAGGAAAAGACCGTGTTTGAACTTCCAAACAGGAACTGATGGCACTGGAGTCACGCTGTCTGTTTTCTAAAAGGTTAAAAGACAAGCGCACAGAGTCCCTCAACCCGCTTTGAAAGCTCACTCAAAAGATGGGGTTGGAGGGGGCAGGATGGTGGCCGGAGGAGCAGCTGACCTGCAGTTAATGATTCAAATGGGCACTGGCTGTTCTGCAGGCCTCTGCCCCCTGCTGACTCCTCAATAAAATATGCCCTAACCGGTTTGGCTCAATGGATAGAGCATCGGCCTGCAGACTCAAGGGTCCCAGGTTTGATTCCAGTCAAGGGCATGTACCTTGGTTGCGGGCACATACCCAATAGGGAATGTGCAGGAGGCAGCTGATCGATGTTTCTCTCTCATCGATGTTTCTAACTCTTTATCCCTCTCCCTTCCTGTCTGTAAAAAAACCAATAAAATATATTTAAAAAAAAATCAGTTCCTTTGTTTGGAGCTCACACCTAATCCTAGCGCTACACTCTCTCTTGGAAATGCTGGTGGGCCCGGGAGCCAGTGTGAAGAACGCCTGGGGCCTGCAATTAAAATGCCAGGGAAGGGAATGCCCAGCGCCCCCTCTCCCTGCACCCAGGAGGCAGCCTGAGACCTGGGTCTGCAGTGGCTACTGCGGCCCTGGGAACAGCACCAAGTCTAGCCGGCGCCCTCTGCTGGCTGTTATTTATTATCCCATCGGATCAAGTCTGTTGACATGTCCTGCTCTCACACACAGCTGTGAGCCAGCCTCTCAGGGTCAGGAACTAGGCCTGATGTGTGCTTCTCCGTGAACCTACGTGAGAGATGACCTGTCCACGTTGGTGGCCGAAGAGCAACCCAAATCGTGTCTTCAACCCAGTGCCTTCAAAGACCAGCGAGACCATCCTTGTTCTAAAAAAAATTAAACATTTTTATTAGTATATTTATTTTATATATAAAAGAAATACAAAAAAAAGGAACACAAAGGGTACGCGCTTATGGCAAGTCGGACTTGTCGGGGCCCTCGGCCTGGGCGCCGGGCTCGGGCCCGCCGGGCGTCAGCAGAGTCCGCCGGGCGTAGTGGCCCTTGATGCCCGAGCTGTTGTTCTCGTTGAGGAGCTGCTTCTGCCGCTGCCTGTTGAGGGACTGGACGAGGCCCAGGACCACGGCGGCCAGCGAGTACTGCCCCGGCAGCCTCCTCGGGGGCAGGATGAACGGGTTGGGCTGGACCCTGCCCAGGAGAAAGTACGTCTTGATTTTCCCCTCCTGCTCGCTGATGCCCTTCACGTAGATCTCCCCCCGGTAGTCGAAGGCGAAACCCTGGTCCTTCAGGATGAGGAACGTCTCCTCCGGGACCTGGATCCTGCCGCTGACTCCCGTGCTGTCCATGCGGCTGGCCAGGTTCACGGTTTTACCCCAGATGTCGTACTGTGGCTTCTTAGCGCCGATGACGCCAGCGACCACCGAGCCGTGGCTGATGCCTGTGGGGGAACCAGAGGAGCAGGAGATGAGAGAAGAGGCATCTGCAGCCACGAGGTGGCCACACCCGTCTGGGGTAGTGATCATGAAGGGTGTGATTTCTGCGGGTAGATTGCAGGGCCCAGTTCTGTCTCTCATTAGATAGTGACCTTCGTCACTTACTTAATTGATTTGGGTCTGTGTTTTTTTTAAAAAAATACATATATATATGTATTTTTAGTCTCTATATATTTTTTAGTATATATATAGATATATATATATATCTATATATATATGGACTTCAGAGAGGAAGGGAGAGGGAGAGAGAGATAGACGCATCAGTGATGAGAGAGAATTATTGATCGGTTGCCTCCTGCACGCCCCACACTGGGGATTGAACCCACAACCCAGGCATGTGCCCTGACTGGGAATGGAACCGTGACCTCCTGGTTCATAGGTTGATGCTCAACCACTGAGCTGCACTGGCCAGGCTGGACCTCACTTTTTTATTATCTGTCAAGTGGAAATAATAAAAGGAAGATGAAATGAGATGATATGAGCAAAGCCATTGGCATAGTACCTGGCAGCTAGTGCGTGCTCAAGAGAAAAGAATTCATATTCTCCCATGGACGCTGACTTAGCTCAGCCTGTGGGATGCCAGGTTTACCGACACACTCGGCGTTGCAATGACTCAGCCAAACTCACAGAGCCGGTCACAGTGGACCCACAACTTAGTCCCACTGGGGAAATAATTTTCTGACCCCCGAACTATGCCAGCGGTACCCTGTACCACACTGGGTTGGCCCTGACCCCAGAGATGTGTCCCGACTTTATGTAGAAGACCCTTTCGCTCAGGCCTAGAGTTCCGCTTTGCTTTCCCGCTCCCATTCTGTAGCCAGTGACTTCAGAAAGGACACGCAAAGTCCAGGGGAGATGTTGGAACAAGCCCCGAATACCCACCCATAGATCAAAAACAAAACGTAATTCCTTTCGGTGCAGGGAACAAAGGCACGTGGCGATCCTTAGATCAGACAAGTCAGACATTGGTATTTCTTGACCTTTTTTTTTTTACTTGAAAGTGGCTAAGGGAGTTTGGTATTTGGTAAAATGGCGCAGCAGCGAAGGGATCTAACACCAGGGCTGCAGCAACGATGGCTTTCGATTGAGTCCTAGCAGCCGGAATGTCGCTGGTCTCGGGACACCCGGGAGCTGCTGCTGGGGTGTGTGATCTTTAGTCCCCCCCCCCCCCCCCCCCACACACACACACCGTGCGGGCTGAGTTTGTGTCCTGGAAATGGGAGTGCGGACCAGAGCAGGGGCTTCCTGGCGCTTCAGGAGGCCCTCAAGACTCAGCAGAGACGCTGAAGAAATTGGCGTGTGATACACACGATAAAGGGTGACTATTCACATTGCCGTGACTGCTGCTGTGTTGTCGCTTTGCACGAGGGCGTCTCTAAATCACAGGAAGGGCGAACCGTGCCGCCGCCTGAAGTGCCCCAGGCTCTCTGCCTGTCCTGCTGAATCCTCAGGAGTGGACTCCTGCTTTTGCCTGAAGGCATTATCTGGAAAGACCAATACCGTGCCTGCTTGCCTGCTCGCTCGGGGTCGGGGGACAGAAGTCAGAATGAAATGACTGGTGAGCCAGCTGCCTCCCTGAGCAAGGCCCGCGTGGGAGAGAGGTTGCCGCGGTCAAGTGTTCGCTTTGTTTTTCTGCACCCGGGCCAGTGTCCATGCCTGGCCTCCAGCATCTTCGGTGAGAGGCAGCCAGAGAAGCCTGAGCCGACCCTGTCCCCGTCCTCGGCAAGGTCAGGCCAAGCCTGCTGCATTTGCAGGAAAGAGCGTCCCTGGCTCGATGGCCAGGCCTGGGAGGGTCCCATGCTACCAGGCCAGGCAGCCCGGGGCCCCCAGTGGCCGCCCGCTGCAGCTACTCACCGATCCGGAGCTCAAAGTTGTTGAAAGAGTGCTTGTTGATCTCTTGAATACTCTCCGTCAGGGCGAGCGAGAAGTCGGCCAGGGCGCACAGGTGTCCCCATTTGTCCTCACATTGCTGGGGGGCGAGAGAGGCACGCATTCCAGCAAGCGTGAGCATCGGGCGAGGGGCCTGCCTGGCGTCCTAACCCCACCCCACGTCCCTTAGAGGAAGCACCAGGTGTGTGGCTCCTGCACATTCAGGCCCTCCATATCCGCAAACATGGGACCACAGGGCGTTTTCATGAGAGAGTAAGATAGGTGTGGATCCTGTCATTCTTCCCAGACCTGCCCCTGTCTATTCAGGCTGGTGGGCCGAGTTCCTGTCCATGTTCACTGGTGTGTGTGTATAGTATGTGTAGTGTTGGGTGTGTGTGTATGTGTGTGTGTAGGTACATTGTGTGTAGGGTTGGGGGTATGTGTATGTACATGCATGTATATATACATGCTCCTGTGTACATATGTGTAGTGTTTCCACTCTAGGAACTGTCTATTTCCTTTGAAGTGCTTCACTCACCAAACTCCAGTAGCCTCTGAGCCTCTCTGAGCCTCAGTTCTGTCATCTGTCAAATGCGCTGAGCACCCTGGCCCTGCCTACCTCACGGGGAGTGGCTGGGCTTGAGCTCTGTGCTCTGATGCAGCCGAGGCTGGCAAACCGGTTCGGTAGAGGGCCAGGCAGCACAGATCTCAGGCTTCGTGGGCCACAATTCTGGTGCAGCTACTCGGCTCTGCCATTGTTGTTTGAAAGGAGCCGCAGACAAAGTACAAGCAGTGAGTGTGGCTGTGTTCAGTGACATCTGATCTGCAAGCACAGGTGACTGGCCAGACCTGGCCGTAGGCTGTCCCAGGGACCCTGCTCTGGAGCGCCAGGCACACGGACCAGTTCCTAGCATGGTCTTCTTGCCAGACAGTTACCCTTGTAATAGTTCTAGGTGTTTAGTTGGACAGAAAGCAAAGGCGGGATGAGAAGGGATGAGGATTCCTTCTCTGGAGTAACTTAGACTCATGTCCAGGTGACACTGATTGAGGACCTGCAAGGGGCAAGGCCTTGTGTGGGAGCATGACGTTATCGCGGGTGACTCGTCCACTAACCCCGGCAGGTGGATGTTGGTGTTCCCACTTAACATGAGTTCCTGGCACACAGGCCACATTCAAAAGAGCAGGAGCTATTGTTATTCTTGTTGTTATTATTATTACATGCTACTTTTGGTCATGAGTTTGGAGGAGAAAACAAAAGCAAGAACAAAAAAACAAAACAGGCTAGGATCAGGGGGTTAGCAACACCGACAACTAATCATAATCAGGGAACTGCTGGCCCTGATTTTGTTCATCACATGAACAGAGAGGTTCATAGGAAGCCAAGAGGGTTCTCATTCATGAAGAAGCGTCGGTCCATCCAGTGGATTCTGCTTAGCTCAAGAGCAACATGCATCACACAACCAGAGTATCTGGTTCATGGGATGTTCTCCCTAACCCTCCCCTGCCTCCTGGTGATGGCAGCCTCACTGCCTAAGGCAGTGTGACAATACTGAGGCCCCTGCCAGAGGTTGTGGCTGAGTCCCAAGAGTTCCCTTACCTGCTTTTCAGGTGACAGGCCTGAGACAGCCATGTAGGTGCTGCCAATGGTCTTGATCTTTTCAATGTCTTGAAACCGGTCTTCGCCGAGCAGCTGAAACAGACCAGGCAACGGTGTTAGTCCTGGTGTGTGTTCTCCCAGCAGCCCGGGGGTCCTGAGAACAGCCCCCTGGCTCACACTGAAGATGCCCTCCGACCGGCCATTCAGAGAGCCAACATATGTTTATTGAACACCTGCTAAGTGCCAGACGCCAGGATGGGCGTGACCAGGTACTCGTTAAGGATAGGTCTATTGCTATGAATCTTCAAAATGGACAAAGCTACCTTGTTAATTTGAAGAAGAAATCACAAATGTCCTGCAGTCCATCAACACATCCTTTTGGCTCTATTTTTAACATGTGTTTGGAACCCTTCTCTGCCAGCTCCCTGGTCTAAGCCCCTGGTAGCGTTTACCTTGTTTCTGTATCGCCGTAACTTACCAGCTCCTGCCCTTACCCTACATGCCCAGCATGGACATCAGAGACATCCCATTCAAATGTGCACAACCCTCCTGTGGCCGCCTCTTCCACTCAGGGCCAAAGTGAGTCTTCCCTGAGACCTTCGGTCCTCCCCTGCCTGGTCTCCTCGCTCACTTTGCTCCAGCCACACCAGCATCCTTGCTGATCCCCATGAGCCAGGCTTGCTTCTGCCTCAGGACCTTTGCTTTGCTGTCCCCCCAGTGGGATAGTCTTCCCCCCAAGGTAGACTGCTCCTCCCTCACCTTCTTCAAGTCTTTCCTCAAATGTCATCCCACTGGGGTCTTGCTGACCACCCCATCCAAACTGAACACAACACCCCATCCCAGGGGCCACCTACATTATAAGATAAGGAAGATGAGAGGAAACTGGCAAAGGAGACTGGTGGAGAGCTGACAGTGCAGCGAAAATAAAGACACAAGTTGGCAGAAGACAAGAGAGGAAAAAGGTGCCCCAAGAGGGGAGGCGCAGTCTCCCAGGTCAAATCCCGCTGATGGGCTCACCGCCACCCCGCCACCCCCCCGCCACTCCCGCCACCCGATGCGATCTCTTGTTTCGTGGCTTCAACACAGTCTCTTTCCTGAAGACTCCGGATGTATGCGTCCCCCTTGACCTTTAGACTCTTCTACACATTTGCTAAGCGACACCCCAGTTAACAGTCTAACAGGCATCTCTCATTGGCCATTCTCAAAGCCACACCCTCGGTCTTCTGTACCCACCTGCCATCTTGATTAATGGGGCCTCCATTTTCCCAGATGTTCTGGATAAAACCTCACAGCCCACACCTACTCTGTCAGAAGCGCCGTGGCTCCGCCTTCAGAGATCCCCGACTCTGTCTGTCCCACTGCCTCTGCTGCCCAGGCCACCCATCCGCACAGCCAGCCCTAGCCCAGGAGCCAAGTTCACAACAGACCCGTCCCCAAGTGTGAACTCTGGCCTCTTCCTCGTGTTGGCAGCTCTTTGATGTAACTCCTGGTTCTCCAGCTCTTTGCCTCCCTTTAACCTTGTAATATCCTCAGGGGCTCCTGCCAGCCTGGGGGTGGCAGCGGGCAGGCAGATGGAGAGGACGCGGTGGGGTATCTACAGACCATGTTACTACAGGCATCCTCTCAAAATTAAGCCAGAGCTGAGAACCTTGGAAAATTCCAGTTCCAGAGAAACTGTCTTGGGGAACACGGAAAACACAGGCAGGTGCTTTTGTGATTTGCTTTAGTGTGTGTGTGTGTGTGTGTGTGTGTGTGTGTGTGTGTAGCAGCCTTTGTTCATTACTTTTGTGTCTTGAGCTGAAGAGAAGCCTCTGCTCTGAGCTTTGCCCTGGCTGAGCGTCTGCCAAGTGCACCCGGGCAGCCTGCCTGTCCTCAACCCGAGGCCATGACTGACAGGTGCCCTCAGACACCAAAGCAGCTTTGGTCTGCAAGCAGCCCTTCCTTCGGCTGTTAATACTGCAGCCCAGAGATCTCGGCCTGCCCTGGGCTGCCCACCTCCCTCCCCAGCCTCCTGCAGGGAGGGGACTCCCCCCATCTCTCTTCTCTTCAGGACTACTTGGCTGAGGGCCAATCTCAGGCCCAGGCAAAGCTGCCTCCCCCTCTGAAGTCGGTTAGGAGGCAGCAAGAGTCTTCATTATTTCATTCAGTATCCACGCAGCACACTTATCTACTGTACAGCTAAGAGCATCTGCGGGCATAATGGGTTCCTAATCGCCTCTTTATTAATTCACTCATCTGCGTGGCGCAGGGAGATGCAAGGGGACTCCTCAGCCTTGGCCGGCAGGGGCTGAGGGCGAGGGATGGCACTGCTGCAGACCCAGCCTTGGAGCATGTGCTCTGTGCAAGGCCCTGCTTTCCCCTGAGCTGGAAGGAATTGGCAGGCTCTCAGGTTCCTGTGGCAACTGCTCAGCAAGAAGAGCAGTGAGCCCCCTGGAGGGCCACTTTAGACCCAAAGAAACGAGGCACGTCTAGGTCACACAAGGAGAGTGCACAGCGCTTGGGGTTTGCAAGCCAGGAAATGTCTTCTTCCTCATGGACAACATTCTCTTCCCTCTTCCTCCTTCTCTGACCTTTCTCTTCGACTTCCTCCCCTCCTACCCTCCCCTCTCCAAATTCCCGGTTCTAAAGATGACAGCCTCCTGGACCAATCCCCTCCCTTAGTCTCACCAGCTTCCCCTCTGCAAACAAACACCCGTCTCTACCACTAGGGGCGCTGTCCTCTGTCTCAGTTTTTGGGAAGACTGCAGGGTGTTTACAATTTAGGGAACAGAGATGTGCATTTAGTTCAGATTTATGTTTTGCAATTTAAAAACATGCTAGTGAGCCTTTCAGGAGATGGGGTGCTGTGGAGTTGAAAATAAAACAGAGCCTGAAGTCTCAGCCTTCAGTCAGATGATTGTTAATGGAGCTATTTCTATTTTTTTACTTGAGAGGATGTTTTGGGGGGTACTAGTCCTTCACCACCTTCCTATTAGCCAGCTGGTTTCTGTCTCCCATTATGTAAGTAGTTAATAGAGCATCCGTTATGAGCATGTCTTATGTTCTAGGCACCGTGCTAGCGCTGGGGATGTCCCGGGATCCATGAGAGTATGCTTTCTATCTGCCTGGCATGGAGGATGGGAATACAGGTGCTGTTACCATGGAGTTGCCCTTGACCCCCTGCATCTCGAGGTCCCTGTACTGTACACTTAGCACTGACTCCTCATTCAAAGACAGCTCTTGGCCACCCTGTCTCTCAGTGGACTGTGAAGCCCGGAAGGCAGGAAGTGATTGTGTCACTTATCTTGATCCCACCCCCATCCCTAGGACATCTGAAATGGCCATCGTTGAGTTTATGGTCACAAAACCAGAACCATGAAATGCCCCTTAAGTGGGAAACAGTGCAACACAACGATTAGAAACCAAAACGGTACAGGGGATCTGCGTACCAATCCTGGTGGTGCCATTTTAATGGTGTGTGGCCTGGACACTCTTGGTGCTTCCGAGGCCCAGTTTTTCTTATGTTTAAAATGAAGGCTAGCCTTGCTGGTGTGGCTCAGTGGCTGAGCGTCAACCCATAAACCGGCAGGTCACATGCCCGGGTTGTGGGCTCGATTCCCAGTAGTGGGGGATGCAGGAGGCAGCCTATTGATGATTCTCTCTCATCATTGATGTTTCTATCTCTCTCCCTCTCCGTTCCTTTCTGAAGTCAATAAAAATATATTAAAATGAAGGCTAGCGATTCCTATCCTGTGGATTTGGTGCAGAATATTGAAAATGGCAACGTGATAAACGCCTATAGAAATTTAATGAATGGGTGTCTGCCCAGAACTAAGTGGCTAGTGGGGGAGGAAGACCTGTACACTGAGGGCTGAGGGCTTTACGGTGGAAGGTTTTTTGAGTATAAGTTTTTCATTGGAAAAGGAGCGACAATATTTACCTGGCTGGAGGGAATTAGAAGAGGCGTCACAAGTAGGATGGGAGTTGAATTGACTGTTAAATGACTATTAGGTTTTCCTCTGGCCATGGAGTCCAGGGAGGGAGGAGGGTGTGGTGAGGAGGGAATAATCTCTGGGCAGAAGGAGCTGTGTGTGGAACAGCTAGGGGGGCCCGATGGCTTGTAGGTAGCTAGACGGTGCTGGACGGGTGGCATGTAGTGGCAGGTAAGGCTGGAGAGGGCACAGGGACAGTACCTGCAAAGCCTCAGGTGACCCGAGGAGCTGGCAAAGGGGAGCCACTGAAAGGTTTTGGGTGTCAAAGGGATATGACAGAGTTCTTCTGCCTTTGGTCATTGCCGATGGGGAGATGCAGGAGGGACAGCAGTTAGGAGATAATATGGCTCAGAGCAAGACTAGGAAGAAGGGATCCACGGGACTCAGGAGCCAGAAGGAATGTGGGGACAGGGAGGACCGTGTCCAGGTCATGTAGGAGGTGCTGTTGGTGCCCCACCCAGACCCGCTTTACGGGGCCACCCTGCAGAATGTCCTGAGGGCCGGCTGCTGTATGCTTTTTCGGAGACTTGCCCAGGCTGGCGAAGCCCCCTGGCTGGAAATGCTGTTAGGTTATGCACCCCCCTGGGGCAGCCCACAGCCGATGGCTGACCAGTGTCGAGGTGCAAAACCTGGCCCCCTTGCCTCACTGGGAAACAACTCCGTGGTACACTTGTCCTCCTGGGCTTCCCGGGGATGGAAGGAGAAGGCCCACTCTTGCCCAAATCTGTGGCTGTGAATAAAGTACAGCGTGAGCCCCCTCGGCTCCCCCATGTTAGGTGTTCTTCACACTCACGGAGGCTGGACAAAGGAAGTCCTGTCTAGAGTGTGCTCATCCTGTGTTCAGGTCTCTGACCAAACGCCAGTTGATGGCTTTGCCTTTGGCACTTGGAGCAGATGGAGAAATGTCCCCATCGGTGCCCAGTCGCTGTGATGCTGGTGCCTGAGTAGCCTTGGTTTGCCATTTGCTAGCTGTGTGACGCTGGGTTAAATTACCTAGCATCTGAGGCTCGTGTTCTTGCTCCCCCACCCCCTCCCCCAGTGAGAAACAATGGCATTGATCTCGTGATAATTGTGATGAGTAGATCAGATGACACATGTTTGTGTTAATAGTGCAGCCTGGAATTCTGTAATGGTCATGGCTCAATGACTCACATAATGCTGTGACCACAACGACGGCCACTGTGACTGTCAGTTCCCCAGGCCTCGGTTTACCTCATCGAAGTCTGCAATGATCTCATTCAGCAGGCGCAGGCACTCCACGCCTTGGTTATTCATTTCGGTCTGAGAGTAAAAGTCCGCAAACCCCGGGATGGAGGCGAACATCACCCCGACAGCATCATAGGATTGAGAATACAGCTCCTGGACAGAGGGACACACAGGGGGAGTCAGAGACAGTCATCAGAGGTGAGGCTCTGCGAGGACGCTCCCTGTGCAGGTGTGCACCTGCACCCAAGCACAGCACCCCAGAGAGGACGCTGCCATGTCAACACTGTAATCACAGCGTCACCACCGTGTGGACCGGGACCATTGAAATGCATGGCCTCCAACTCAGCTGGGCTCAGAGTTCTGACTGCCCATCCCTTTGTGCCCAGCCTCCTGTTCTGTTGTCCTCAATGGCAAAACCCTCACCACATTCCTTAATGTCAGCCTCACTTGATTCTTCTCAGTAGATGATCTCTTACTTCACTGAAAAATCTGAGGCTCTTGGCATTCCAATACGCATACATTTGTCTACATTCATATTTATTGCCATCAACTCAGGATTCTGGAGACTAGAAGTTTAAGGTCAAGGTGTTGGTACATTGGCTCTTTCTGAGGCCTCTCTCCTTGGCTTAGGTGGTCTTCTCCTCCCTGCCATCCCACCTCAAAGGCATGAGAGGAGCCCGGGAGGAACTGAGTTGAGGTTGGAGAGGTGCTGTCAATTTCTGGGGAGGGACAGTGACAGCTTCAGCTAATCCCAAGAAAGGGGACCAAAGGAATCTATTTCCTGACCTCACGCTCCTTCCCTTCCCTCTGGTCTCCCATACAGCACCCCAATTAATGACCCTCAGCTGGGTGCCAGAGGGTGTGCGCAGTCATTGATGCAGCCCAGGCAAGTCAGCTCCCACCACCCAAGTAAGCAGGGAGAAGGGTGGGGGGTTTTCAGGGGACCCGGAAGCGCTCCAGCCACCTGCCTCCACCGTTAGAGAGAGCCCATCATTCAACTGGCTCTAATCAGCTGCTTTGAGTGTGCCATCTGTTTCTTGCTATTTGGGGCTCAAAGAAGATAAAAATATTGTGAGCTGGGGAGGGAGCACTGAATATAGAGAAGCTATTATTGCCTTATTGCCACCCTCCTCTGGCTGGATGTACAGGTTTGGGCTCTGGGGAGGGTTTTGAGCATCCACACCCTCCCCTCCTCCACGCCGAGAGAGAGACTTTGGTTCCTCTCTGCTCAGGGAGCTAGCTCTGGTCCTTCCTGGCCCAGGATGTCTGAATCCAAGTTCCATGTTTCCTCTGTGAAGTCAAGCCCTCTCTCTGCAGGGAGAAACTAGGGCTGAGACCGGTTGGTCTTATTAGGATCCTTTCATGACATTCAGGTCTCTGCTCAAATGTCACCTCCTTAAAGACAGCTTCCAAAGCCCCCTCAATGTCAATGCCAGCCCTTTTCAATACTGTAGCCCTCATTTGGCTTCTGTTCTCATAGAACTATCACTCCAGGCACGAGGTTGTATAGCTATTCATTTTAATGTCTGCTTTCCCATAAAAACACATGCTTCATATCAGCAAGGACTCTCTTCTTTGCTCACTGTCTGAATGCCAGGATCTAGAACAATGCCTGACACATGGTCAGCCCTCAGGAAGCATTTGCTGAGCAAATGAGCGAATGAATGGTAGGGGTTGGGGCTGCGATTGGGAGGGAGCAGAAGTAGTGGTGACTCACATTTATCAAAAAATAATTACAGTAACAATCTGTGTGCTCTTAGAATGTGCCAAGCACCGTATAAGCACTTTATGCACAGATATAAACGTCCTAACAATCGGATAAAGTAGGGAAGTTTTGTTACTTTGTAGGTGAGAAAAATGAGGTTCAGAGAGTTCATCACTTGTCCATAGTCTCAGAGGGAGCAAGAGGGGGAGTCAGTTTTGAACACAGGGCACCAGGCTTCTGGGCCCATCATATGGCCTTTCTATACCGAACCTGCTACATACCTGGCTACACCGGGCACCTTGTGTGTTCCCACCTGTTTTAATTCTCACACCAACTCAGCAAGGGTGATATTGTTTCCTCATTGACTGGATGAGAAAGGAAATGGACTCAGAGAGGTCGAGTGTCAACTCTTTAAATATTTATAAAGCCTCAAATAAGCATGATGAAGGCTGAACCTCCCATTGGTTTTGCTCAGTGGGGGTTGGCCTGGAGACAGCTGATGACCTGCGGTCTCAGCATCCCTGGCTGGTTGCCATCTTTCCCGGACGAGGGCAGCGTGCTCGTGCTCCTCCCCACTGGCCCCAGATCCCGGTGGCTTTGCTGTGTTGATGGAAAAGCGGTTCTCCTTTCCGTTCTCCTTGGGTTGGCCTCGGAGGGCTCAGTGTTTCATCCGCTTCTTCTGGAGGTCATGGCGACCCACATTAGTATTCCCTCTGCTTTCTTGGCTTCGTCACCAAGCTCTTGCCACAGAGCTCCTGCCCTTAGGGAGCCTTGAGGAAACCGGGCCTGAACCTAATTCCAGAGAACGTCATCCATGGGGTGGGCGGTGCCTCGACCTGCACCCAGGAGATTGTCCAGGGCCCGGGTTCACCAAGAGCTGGCTGTTCGAGCAGCGGGTTATTCATTCGCTCAGCTCCTTCCCATGGTCATTCCGTGGCTGCTTGGATGAGATAGGGACCCTTAGGTCTCACCCAGCTCCATCCTAAGGCCTGGGTCACAGACCCAAATGTCTTTATGCAGGAGAAGGGGCAGGACACAGATGGATACATTGGAGAGCCTACTCCATGCCTGCACGCATCCATCCAATCACGGATTAAAACAAAGAAGCCAACCAACCAGCCAGCCAACCAGTGAGCATTTCCCCTGACCACACCTGCTGTTGCCAGCCACTGACGAGCAGGTGATCTGTGCACACACATATGTAAAACTTTACAATTCCAGTTCAGTCTTGCAACGGACATCTTATTCTGTCCATCTTACCGATGGGGGACCCGGGGCTGGGAGGTGGTGTGTATATGTCACAGTGCTGGGAAGTCTCGGGGGCCTGGCACCAAGTGGCAGGTATGATCTCCACCACCACGTGCTCAGAGGACAGGGGGGTTTTCCCTGAGCTTGGGGTCCATGTGTCCAACTCACCCCCCACACCACCACCCCTTCTCACCGGCCAGACGAGCCTGGCTCACCTCGTTGTCTCGGTCCTTCTCCAGGAAATGGCGGGCCACGTGGCTGGGCAGGATGTTCCGGAGCATGTTCTCATTGTGCTCCCTCAGCTCCTTCATCTCGTTGATCTCCTCCTTGGCCTGAACCCGCCAAAGGAAGTCCAGGCGGGCAGTGTACTCTAGCTGCAGTTCAGGGGAGAGGAAGAGGGAAACAGGTGGGCAAGCAGCTTCAGGCCCACGTGTGGCAGGTGGGGAAAGCTGCTCAGGAACCTTCATGAACAAAACAGAGCCACATCTGGGTATTTGGGGAGGCACTTTGCCTGACACAAGAGATCAGAGGATGATCCCATTGCACAGGGCTGTGTACCTTCCCTTCCTGGCATTATGGCACCTATAACTACGATTGTTTGTGTGATGTCTGATAATGGCCATGTCGCCTACTGGCCTGCAGGTGCTATGCGGTCAGGGTCCTTTCCCCTGCTCAGCAGGACATCCTTACCATGTAGCCACATGCTTGGCCCAGGGCAGGTGTTCAATCAGGACTTACTGACTCAATGGAGAAGTTATAGTAATCAAGCCAGCTGACACTTAGATGGTGCTTAGTATTATTCCAGGCATTGTTCTAAGCAATATACAGGTCTTCACTCCTTTCATTCATACAAAAGCCCTCATAGGAGTCATTATGATCAATCCTATGAGGAAATGAAAGCAAACATGGTGAAGTAACTCGGCCAAAGTCACACACTAGTTAGTGGGAAGCTAGGATTTGGGCTTCACTCCAGAGCCCAACCCGAGTCTGAATAATACTGGTAGCGGTTGGACTTCACTCAGTGATCCTTCAGGCATAATGTGATAAGAAAAATCATTTGATGTACAAAGAGCATTTGTGAGTGCCGACTACATGGTAGGCAGTATGCTAAGAAGCCATACACACACATATACACACGTGCACACATACCTGCATGTATACATACACATGTTTCTATGTATACACGTTATTGTTATTATACCATTTAAATTATTTAAAAAATTGTGATAAAGTACATATAACATAATTTACCATCTTAACCATTTTGAAGTGTACATTTAAGTGGTACTAAGTACATTCACTAGGCAATAAGGAAGAAATCAATGAGCTAACAATGAAAGGATTGTGGATTTAGTTGTGAGACAAGTATGGTGTAGTGTCCTGGTCCCAATTCACATACTGTGATCTGGGCTGGTGACGTCATCCCAGGTGCCTCATCTCTGAAAGTGGGAGGAGCATCAGTGACCTCGCAAGATTAGAATAGGAATTATACAGGAAGTTACAGATAAAGCACATGGCTCATGGTAGGAACTCATACCCATTCGTTCCCTCTTGTCCCAGTGTTCCTTGGTGTTGGCTAGTGGACAACTTCCTTTCTAAAGCACCTCACATATTTACCACAGCCTGGCGGATGTCATTATTTCAAAGTCTTTGGCTGTTGAACAGTAAACTGCACTATTATACATGGTTGGGTGCCTTGCATTCAGAGGCTTAAAAAACTCCAGCTCGTTTCTTTTCTTTGTCTTACGCGAAAGTCTCAGTGGATGGCAACAATGTGAAATGACAGAGGCGGCAGGTTATCTATTCAGCAGAATTTGTAATAGCAAAAGCTGGAGACAACCCAAGTGTTCCTTTTGTTGGTTGAATGAACTATTGTATGCAGCTATAAAAAGAAATGAAGACTATTTCTCTATACTTTGATGGACTATCTCCAAGGTGGAGAAATGCGTGTTTAGTATGCCACCATTGGTCTCAGGAAGGGAGATATCTAGATATCTCTCTCTCTCTCTCTCTCTCTCTCTCTCTCTCTCTCTCTCTATATATATATATATATATATATATATATATTTGGCGGGGGGGAATTTTATTTGTTGAAAAATTGAAGTCTAAAAAAATCATTACCAATGATATGAAGAAGGGAGGAAAAAAGTGGAGGAAAAGGGATAGAATTTAAATTTTTAATATTATATGTTGTTTTACAAACTTGACTTTTGCATCACGGAAATATTTTACTTAAGTATAAAACTGAATGGATTTTTAAATCTGTAAAAACAAACATAACTAGGCAAATGAATCTACATGTAAAACCACACGGAGAGGAGTGATTCCAAATTTCTCCTAACACAAGGATTTGATAAAACGTTCATAAAGGGAAATACTCCGAGGATGAAGAAAGCTTAAAAAAATCTTAAGCCCTGGCCGGTGTGGCTCAGTTAGTTCAGTGTCGTTCATCCATGCACCGAAAAGTCCCCGGGTTTGATTCCCAGTCAGGGCACATGTCTGAGTTGCGGGCTTGATCCCTAGTTGGGGATGTGCAAGAGGCAGCCAATGGATGTCTTGCTTTCACATCGATGTTTCTCTCTCTGTCCTTCCCTCTGCCTTCCTCTCTCTTTAAAAACCAATAAAAAGCCTTTAAAAATAATCTTAAAACTGTTTACAACCATCTTACTGCAGCTGGTAGTGTTTGTGGAATTACCACTTAGACTACTGTATGCGAACGGAGGAGAACGCAAATGAGCGTTTTCATTGGTGTCACTGAGAACTGGAATTTGGGGGAGGGAAAAAGGAGGTGCAGATGTAAGATAGATGAGGTTAAGTCAGAGCACATGTCCTGCCTGTGAAGTGAGTGGCCCTGTGAGCGCATGACATGGATGTATGTCTCCCAGCTCCACCCCCGGAGTGAAGGCCGAGAGACAGTGAGAACCACAGCAGCAAGCACTCCCAGGATCCAGATTGGGTTTCAAAAATACCAATTCCTACAAAAATAACATGGCTGAAACCTAGGGGAGAAAATGTGCAAGCCGGGAACATCTTTTCACACCAGAAAGCAAGGAGATTACCAGAACCTACTGAGCTTATGTCGCAAGATTCCGAAGCTTACAGGGCGTTTGACGCCAAGCTGTGGCTCTTACCCCTACACTCTATATACGTGACCTCATTCAGCTGCTGTCTAACTCATATAGATAACTATTATCTATTAAATGACAGCTCTGGGAGCTTGAGTCTCTCAGGGTCCCCTTTCTTCCAGTGGCATTGCCGGGACTCAGATTTAAGAATACGGTCCCGAGACTGAGTCTTCCTCTCCAAGCTGCACAATCCCACTGCCTGTCTGCATCAGGCCCAGGAGTGAGTGAACAACTGGAGACATGACCTCAGTAGTCCCTGCCCCCAGGTGTGGCTTCCTCGGCCATAAATGGAGATGTGAGGCAAAGCCCAAACCTCCGGCTGCAGGTGCATGAGGCCGAGGTGGGAGGTGTGGGATGCCTGCTCTCCCTGCCCAACCTTCAGAGCATTCTCCTGCCTGGAGGAGGAGGAAGGGTTGGGCATATCGCTTTCACGTACGTGTAAGATGGCATTCTCCAACTATTCAGCTATTATATGACCGCCCAGTCTCTCCGGAGATGTGTCATTACAGTGCTCCCACCGGAGGCTGCTGCGTACCAGGCACCAGTGGGCATTGTCAACAAACACAGGGAGCCTGAGTCACCAAGGGGAACCAGCGGAAGCAGGTAGCAGACCCAGGAATGGGCAGGCTTGATCCGGAAGGACGGGGCCCGACAGGTGCTATGAATGGGTGACACCTGAACCGATGTCGTTCTGCGGGAAGCCTCCTCCAGCAGCCAGGCAGGCGCCATGCGGGTGGAGCGGGAACACGCCCGTGTCTGTCTGGCTTTCCTTACTGGCGTTGTGACCTCGAGTGACTTGAGTCTCTGCTCCTGCCTGGGGACCAGGTGGATAACAGTCCTTTCCCTGTTAGTCTCAGAGGCTTGTTTCCAATGCAAACCATGCATAGCTCATGACTTTTGAGCATGTACTCTGTGTGCAAAGTCCTGGGATAAGTATGTTAAAGTTACACTCGCATTAAGTACTATAACAACCCTGTATATTATGATCACACCCATTTTATAGGAGAGAAACAGGCCCAGAGTTGAGTAAAGGACTGGAAGCCACACAGCTGGGGTTTGAATCTCATCTGGCCCTGGCCAAGCCTGTGCCTATACCTGCTGCAGTTATGGGCTGTGATTATGTCATTTCAAAGTCTTCGGAATATTACAAATAAAAAATACACTATCGGAAGTCACTTACTCAGACCCTCGCTGCACTTCTATACTCTTATTTATACACACTCTGAATGGGCTTAGGTTACCTGTGTGCCCAGGGCACGTGGAGAGTGGAATAAATTAAATCGGAATGTTGGAATGTTAGAAAGGGACTGAGGAAGGGGTACGACAGGGCACCCAGTCATGCCTTAAGGGGGCGGAGGAAACGGGAACGTCTTTCTCATTGCGGATTGAGGCCCCCCGCTTGGAACTTGCTCTCTGAGGGTTTTCACTTGTCGGCTTAAATCCTGGCTGGCGGAGTGTGCGTATGGTGTTGTGTAGAATTGCCTTGCCTGATTGTGTCTCCATAGCCCTTCAGTGGGTTGCCACTTGCATGTGAGCCCCGGGAGTGGTCCCCCGCAACCAGAATCCATTGGGACGTGGCAGACACGACCCAGCTCTCACAGACAGCCCAGTCTGGGAGAGCTAAATCTAGGCATTCTGGGAATGGCTAGACTTTCACATTTGGCCTATGGTTTCACCATCAAACCAGCTAAAATTGAAAAACAAGTCAGAGTCTTCTGGCAGGGCTGCACCCCCGCTATCCCCCGCCATTGTGTTGCTATGCACACGTCCTCTCTGTTCTCCTCCAGCTGAGGATGTGGGAAGGGTGAGCTGGGGCGGCGGGGCTGGGCTGGAAGTCTGCTTCTCTTGCTTCCTAGCTGAGTAGCCTTGCTTCCTTCATCTGTGAAGCGGGATTGACAATCACTGCCATCGCAGGGCGCGGTGCTTGAGTGAATGAGAAGTGGAGGTAAGTGCCAGGCACTTAGTAGGAACTGGTACCTGTGAACCCTTCCCCCATTGTCTTGCTCGCCAAGCTTATATCACTCTTTCCTCCCCCGTGACTGTGACTGCACTTCACCACCCCCTTTACGGCAAACAGCTCTAGGTTCTTGAGGTTTGGGCTGTTTCATCCCTGGCTTCTCAGGGTTCGTTGCCTCCCCGTTCCCATGGTGATTTCTCAGTGATCTGTTTCTATTTCTGCTTTAGCTGACGTCTTCCTGTTTTGTTTTGTTTTATTTTGCTTTCTGGTTATTTTTTTGGAAGTGTGCACAGACCAAGGAAAGACGGACAGGAGTCCAGAGGGGAGCATGGGCCAGCAGGTGTGGCTCTGCAGGGGTTGGGGATTCCCCAGGGATAACATTACCACGTCCATGGTCTCGGTTTGCATGGAGAAGTTCTACGGGGACAGCAGGTGACACCAGGTGAAGCCTGCTGAGATGCTCCCATGCAGAATATCTTCTCGCCCCTCCGACTCTTGAGGTCCTTGGACAGCCTGTTCTCAACTCGGCACGTGCCCCATGGCATTATTTGGGGCTTGCTCTCCTCCGAGAGACTGGAACCTTGGGGCCAGGGATGGGGTTCTGGACAGTGCTATGCACAGTGCCCCCCAGACCCTGGCAGAGGAGAGGCTCAGAGGGAAGTGGCATCATTCGGGTAGGCGCTTTATCTACTCGGGACACATCAGTGACGAAGCACTTCCTATGGTTACGTAAGGCCATGAGCAAAACGCTGCCCAATAATAAAGAAATGGTTCTTCCAAATGCCCTGCTTAGGTGTTCCTACCTTTTTAGAAATGAGGAAACTGAGACTCAGGGAGATAAGCAACATGCCCAAGGCCACCAGCTGCCGAGAGGCAGAGGCGGGATTGGAACCCCGGCTCAGCTGGTCTGGCACCCAAGTGTTTGCATGCACAACTCTGATAGTCACAATTTCATCCAGGCCACGGAACTGGGAGAGAGCCATTTCCCTCAAGCAGAAATCAAAAGCTCTGTGTTTGTCTGTTTGTTTTGTTTTAAGGACAATGGTCTCTTTGAAAGAGCTATCCTTAAGACGTATTGTTTACCATCTTCTCCAACTTCGTGTTTTATGAAGTGGCCTATATTAGAAATTGATTTGTTGGGAATCACAGCTTGCTGCAAGCAGCTACTAGTCATGTGCTGCAAAGAAGAGCCAGCTTTAGGACAGCGGGAGATGCCAGGCAACCAAAGGCAGGCCGAGCAGAAGGTCAGGTTACCTGCTGTCCGTGGTAGAACACAGCGAGGAGGAACATGGCCATTAGCAGCAGCGACGCCTCCTTGGTCCCCAGGAAATCTCTGTTGGAAGAAGAAATGCAAATGGCAACCATGAAGGGACTTCAGGGACACGCGATAGGAAACTGAGGCTCAGAAAGGAGCAGGATAAAAAGAAAGATCACCCGCTAGTTCATAGAGGCAGCTGGGGGTGGGGGGTTCCACTTAGAAATACCGACTTCTGCGCATGGGCCACGAAGTTTCAATCGCACTGTACGTGTGCGCCCACACGTGGTATTTTGTGGAAGAGCCACACTCGGGGCCAAAGAGCCGCATGTGGCTCGTGAGCCGCAGTTTGCCGACCACTGCCCTAGGCAGTGGTTCTCAACCTTGGCTGCACATTAGAATCACTTGGGAATCTCTTTAAAATCCCAATTTCTGGGCCTCATCCTCCGGAAATTCTGTTTCTTTGTTACTAATGTTGCGGCCCCACCCCATAACAAAGAAACAGGATTTCTAGAGGATGAGGCCCAGAAATCAGGATTTTAAAAAGATTCCCAGGTGATTCTAATGTGCAGCCAAGGTTGAGAACCACTGGCCTAGGGCAGTGGTCGGCAAACTCATTAGTCAACAGAGCCAAATATCAACAGTACAACGATTGAAATTTCTTTTGAGAGCCAAAATTTTTAAACTTAAACTATATAGGTAGGTTCATTGTTATTAACTTACTTAGGGTACTCCTAAGACTTAGGAAGAACCACACTCAAGGGGCCAAAGAGCCGCATGTGGCTCACGAGCTGCAGTGTGCTGACCACGGGCCTAGGGAATAGAGTCAATAATACTTTAGTAACTGTGTGTGCTGTTAGGTGGGTACTGGAAATATCGGGGGGGTGGGGAACACTTTTTAGTAACTGTGTGTGCTGCCAGATGGGTACTGGAAATATCGGGGGGGTGGGGTGGGGTGGTGGAGGGTATCTGATTGTCTAACCATTGTGCTGTACACCTGAAACTAATCCCAAAAAATATTGAAAAATAAACTTCTATTTGCGGGACACCTTTTCTACATTTCAAAGAGCCTTAGACTTTCTGGTTACAAAAATGCACGCGAAGACTTTTCTTAGAAGTCATCCCGTTTAAGAGGCAGGTGGCGGGGGGGGTGGGGTGGGGGTGGGGTGGGGGTGGGGGTGGGGGCAGGGGGTGGGGGTGGGGGCGGGGGGCGAGGGTGTTTGCTCCTTGCCGCTCCCTGTCCTCAGTGCTGTAGGAATCACACTTAGATTCTTCCATCAGCTGTGTCAAGGGGACACTGTTTGATTCTGTCAGTTCTGAAATTCTTACATCTGTTCTCTGAATTGGGCACTGTTGTTACCCCCATTTCAAGCCCTGTGTCCTTCAGTAAAGGCTTTGTTCCATGTGTCATTGTGTCAGCTCTCACACTCCATCCCGTCCTTCCTGAGGCACAAGCTGCTGGTCGCTGACCGGCTTCTCCGGGCTCTCAAGAGGAGCAAGCTGGAGGGCAGCTGAAGATGGCCAGCAGCCAGTGTACACTTACACGCTGACCTGACCTTCAGCCATCAAGGAAATTCAGAAGGTGGCCAGGGAATCTCTTGTTTGATTCCAAATGTTCCTCTCTTTTCATTTCAGCACCATATGAAGCCTTTCTCAGGACAACCTCGGCCAGGAGGCAGAGTGTTTGGTGGAGCTTTGCATGTGGACTCAGGTGTCTTTGGAAATGAACAGTTCCCCCCAACAGGCTTCCGCTGGTTGAAGAAGAAACCCCAAATTAAAATGCTCAAGGCATGTCATCAAGATTTTTTCCCAATATTATTTTGTATTAGTTTTAAGTGTACAGCATAGTGGTTAGACAGTCATATACTCTACAAAGTGACCCCCCCACCTGATATTTCCAGCACCCACCATGCACTGACATAGTTATTAAAGTATTGACAGTATTGGAGGCCCAGTGCACAAAATTCGTGCACTGGAGCGGGAGGAGATCCCTCAGTCTGGCCTACGCCCTCTCGCAATCCGGGATCCCTTGGGGGATGTCTGCCTGCTGGCTTGTGGCTGGATGGTCTTCTGCTGCTGCACAACCTGCTGCTTGAGCTTCAGCAGCTGCTGCATGTGCATGGGCTGGGCCACCATGGTCTGTCCTGTGAACACCATCGAGTGGGTGAGTCAAGCGTGGAGGTAGGCTCACCTTGAGTTCCCTGTGCTTCCCTGAGTTGTTCAGACTGACTGCCTTCTACAGAGAACGGCAGGGGGATCAGGCCTAAGCCGGCAGTTGGATATCCCTCTTGCAGTCTTGGGGGATGTAGCAGTGCGCCAGGCAGCAGGCGGCCAGGGCGGAGCCTGAATTGGGGCCCAGCACTGAGCTACTCGTGCTCATCCCGGCCCACTTCGCCTGCTGCCGCTGCTCAGTAGTGCTGCCCGGAGTCGGGAGAGGCTCCGGCTTTGGCAGCTGCGCTCACCAGCCATGAGCCTGGCTTCTGGCTGAGCGGCACTCCCCCTGTGGGAGCACACTGACTACCAGGGGGCAGCTCCTGCGTTGAGTGTCTGCCCCCTGGTGGTCAGTGTGCATCTTAGCAATTGGTTGTTCTGGTTGTTCTGTCAAATGGTCGCTTAGACTTTTATATTTATAGATAGATTGCCTATGCTGTTTTTTTACGTCTGTGGACATTGTGACTTGCTTTCCATCACCTCCTGTTTTATCCCCCAGGTTTCTCCATCTCAGACAAGTGCCCCCTCATCCATTCTCCCAGGTGCTTGAGCCAAAACCAAAAACAAAACTGGGAGTGAGGCATCACCACTCCGTTATCCCAATCCTGTCCACTGTTCCACCAAAATATATCCTCAGTCTTCCCACTTCTCTCCCCCTCTTCCTCCAGCACTTAAGTCCAGCCACCATGATTCCCAGTAGCTTCCTAATGTTACTGTCTACAATCTACTTTCTTACATGGCTGCCAGAATATTTATTATCACTAAAGCCAGATCACGTCACTCACTTGTTTTATCGCCTCCTAATCATGAGAACACAAAAACTCAGAACTCACTCAAAATAACTTAACTCTGGTGTGGCTTAGGGACATAATGGGGCCATGGTAGATGAGATGCAATGTGTAGAGGGAGGAGTAGTGAGTATTAATGTGGCTGCACCCAGGCGATGCCACCTTTCCCTTTTGTATTCTTGCTGGAGGCCAGCTAGAGTAGCACAGGGCTCAGGAAATGGGGGCAGCTTCTAGCCAAGCTTTATGCTAAAAGACCCTCTGGCTTATACAGAGCCAGGCCCAGCTCAGTGCTCTAGGTGGAACGGGTATATGGGGCTGGGAATATGCTCTCTCATGGGGAGGTATTCAGATTTATGAATTTCTAGTTCTATCTGCCTTTTTAAGAGATCAGATGCTAATAATAGATGATACTCATTATTGTGTTTCTTTTCTATAGCCCCAGCAAATCACATAATTATTGAGCATTTGCATGCCAGGGACATGCTGGGATACAGAAATGAAGAAGGCACATTGTCTTTGTGCTCAAAAGAGTCCACTAAAAAAGAATAGAGAATCAAACAGACAAATAATTTTGTAACATGATAGACTCCATAGTAGGAATACATCCTTGTTGCCATGGGAATGAATAGAATATAGCTTAGGAGGACTCAAAAGCTCAGTCTTAAAGGATGGCAAGTCTTGGGAGGTCAGGGTGAGATGGGCTTTATAGGTATGGGACATATATCTTGCTTAGCTAGCCGTTGACAAGCCTCTAGAGCAGGGGTGGGCAAACTTTTTGACTCGAGGGCCACAATGGGTTCTTAAACTGGACCGGAGGGCCGGAACAAAAGCATGGATGGAGTGTTTGTGTGAACTAATATAAATTCAAAGTAAACATCGTTACATAAAAGGGTATGGTCTTTTTTTTTTTTTAGTTTTATTCATTTCAAATGGGCCGGATCCGGCCCGCGGGCCGTAGTTTGCCCACGGCTGCTCTAGAGTTAGGGTGAGAAGTAAATGTCACATGTCAAGTTTGAGGCCATAGTCAGTGAGCAGGAGAAAGTGCTCAGATCTACTGGAGCTGTTCACTACCACCAATGCTGAAGTGAAGAGGGTTGGACTGTGAGCCCCATATTATCATCCAGCATTTTAGGACTAGGATTCATTCATTCATTCATTCATTCATTTCTTCACTCATAGTCACTACAGTGCTTATTTTGGGGGGAGCAATAGGGATATTTTAGTACCACTCTTTTCTCCATGTCACTTAATTCTTTGGCCCCTGAAGTTTGAGGACTCCTGAAAAAATAACTAATGACATGAGCTTTGTACTCATGCAGACCCAGGTTCCAATCTCAGCTCTGTTAATGACCAGTTGTTTGACCTTGGACAAGACACTCTATACCTCTGAGCTTCAGTTCATTGCCCATTGTGAAAGACTCTGATAGCATTTACCTGCATAACTGGAGGAGTAAATGAGCAAATCTTGGTGATGTGCTGGGCATGGTGTATGGCCCGTGTCTCCCTCCCTCTCTCCACCCCATAAAGCTCCCAGCTCATGATCTTGCTCCTGGTAGTGGTGCTTTAAAAAAATCACTGGTTCACCGGCTTAGTTTGAATGGGAAATGTCATTTGTTCAGCTCCCCCTAAATGCATCCCAAACTCCTGCTCTGCTGCCACTTCTAATATCCTTTTCTTTGTGATGCAGATGCTTTTTTTAAGCCGAAGAATTTATCACTTAAAATGTGCTTTCAAGAGGAAACATAAATACCTCTTTTTTTTAAAAAAATATATATTTCTTTATTGATTTCAGAGAGGAAGGGAGAAAGAGAGAGATAGAAACATCAATGATGAGAGAGAATCATTGATTGGCTGCCTCCTGCACACCCCACACTGGGGAAGGAGCCCGCAACCCAGGCATGTGCCCTTGGCCGGAATCGAACCTGGGACCCTTCAGTCCACAGGCCGATGCTCCATCCACTGAGCTAAGCCGGCTAGGGCCATAAATACCTCTTGAATCATTCTGAAAGCAGTGATGACTAGGTCAAATTCAGAGGAAAAGTAAAAGGAAATTGTGCATGGTCTTTGAGTCTTTCTGATGTCCTTCAGATGGAAAAAATATGGCCTGAGTAGAGACTGTAGAAGATGCATAGTAAGTCAGCCAGGTCAAGGGACATCCAGAAAGAATTGTGATTTGAATTCAGAAGAAAAATATTTTTGTAGCTTCTATGGTTATAGGCTGAAACCATACAAAATTATAATACTTTGCTTGATATTAGGTGGTAGAGACTAAAACTAAGAACATTTTGAACTAATTTATTTGTATTAATAAAATAATTGAATTAATACTACCACCTCCCTAAGTTAATAGAAAAGAACATAAGTGAAAGCACATGTGGGATAATGTCATTTTCAGGGCAATAACAATCTTTAGAGACATCATATCAGATGTCTCATAAAAATTAGTATTTAATTTGAGTGTTTACTCATTATAGAAATATGCCAACTGTGAATTTGGAAGCAGATAAAAATTCACAAATAAAACAATAAAAATTGTCCTTAAGCCTACCATTCAGAGAAAACAATAGTTAATATTTTGGGGGTCCATTAAGTGAACAATGTCCACTATTATTAACATTGCTACAGTCAAATTATAATCAGATCCTACAAGTGTGGGATCTGTTAAAGGTGAAGGAGTCGTAAATTATTAGGTTAAGAGGAGACTTGAGCTGTTATTCAATCCAAACTTTAACTCAGTAATTAATCTGTAATTAATATAAGTGATGAAACTGAAAACTAGAGATTTTGCCTAGACTTGTAAGCTAGAGAGCCCCTCAGCTGAGAAATACACTGATCTTCAAACGGTCCCCAGGTTTCCCTAACTCCACCTCCATCATTTTCCCAGTGGCTCTAGTTCCCACAGGAAGCTGGGCACTTTCTGAACACGCGATGGCGGGCACTTACTCTCCACTGTGGTTCAGGTTGTCATAGCGCAGGAAGAGACCTGAGTAGATGGTCTCGGTCAGCAGGGCGTAGATGGCGATCATAATGAGCAGCACGGCCAGCTTCAGGACAGAGTTGAGTCGGAGGAAAACCGCACAGGTCACCATGGCCAGCACGCCCGTGAAGACGAAGTACTGGAAGCAGAGAATGTCGGTGGTCAGGCTCAGTGGGATGGTGGGGGTTCACTCTCCCGCTCACGGATGCCAGTAGGCCTCCTTGTACAGAGGTTCGCTGAGCGTCTCCATTTGGAGGTCTCAGCCATCCTCAATTCCGCAGCTCCACATTGAACTCATCATTTCATTACCACCTCCCCAAGACTCTGTTCCCTGTTTTGGGGGGGACTTTACACCCCATCCCTTAAGCCAGAAACCTTGATCTCATCTTTGTGCCTTCCTTTTCCCCACATTCCACAGCCAGGTCATCCTAAGTTAGAAACCACTTCCTCCCTGGATCTCGCATCCAGCCAGCTTTCTCCTTCCACCTGCTTCTGTTTAGTTCTCACCTACAGTTTTGGAACAGTGTTCTGGCAGCTTTGCCTGCTTCCTGCCCCCAGGCCCCCCGAATGCAGACTGTCATTCTACCCAGTGTTTCTAAAGCGCAGACCGGATCATGTCACTCCTTAACTTGAAGCCCCTTTATTGCTCCCCATTCCTTCCAAGTCTCTTCTCCTTTTTGAATAGCAAAGCTCTCCAGGCCTCATACAGCGGATGCCCTTGCACTTTCCGAACCCCGATGTGTGGCCCAGCCTCACTGCCGACCAGCTATTCGCCTGCTCTCCCAGGCCTCAGTGCTTTGTACTCCCTGTGTGCTGTCGCTCAAATCTCATCCAGGCGACCGAGCCGAACTCCTCTGACAAACTCAGTGTCCTCTCTGAGAAGCTTTCCTGCACATCTCCAGGTGCTTCTGGGTACGGCCTCATGCCTGCACAGCGCCCTTTCTAGCCCAGCGTAACATCTGTCACCTGTATTAGAAATGGCTGTTCAGATGGCCAGTTTAAAACCACTCAGTGGCTGGATGATTCCAGGGGCTCCCATCTATTAGTCTGCCCAGCCGATTTCAGCTTCTGTAGGAAGCTCCTCAGTCTATTTCTCTGACAGAAGTATCCCGATATCGCATTTGGGATGGTTGGTTTAGATTCTGACTATTCAGTGGGGGAAAGAACCAGACCTGTGTCATCAAAGACCCACTTGGTGGCAGTACTTTGCTCTTTGTACCCACTTTCTCTTATAATTTTCAAAATAACATCAGTCAAGATGAGAATCATAATTTTCACTTTGCAAGTGAAGAAACGAAGGCTCACAGAGCTTGAATAAATTGTTTAACTTCTCTTAGCTAGAAAGTGACACACAAACACCTCGATATGACCTGTCCTTGTAAAGGTGACCCTGGCAAGTACACTGGGCTTGGCCATTTCTAAAGTCCATTCCTGTCTTGCTATACTCGGCTCTTTATAACAACTTGTCTTTTCCCTCCTACTACATGGAGAGGCTATTTCTGTATGAGCCAAGGAGATAGGTAAGAATTTCCAGAAATTCCCTGAGAAACTACTGAACACATGTTTATTGACTTCTTATAGCAGACTGACTCATTCATGTATACTTGTCAGAAATGTTGATATCAAAAAAATGTGGACAGCACCCTGACAGAGTTCCCAATGGGGGCGAGGGCCTGTGCCTTTAGGGTGCACGGGATGGACTCAGAAATGAACGACTGTCCCTACTCTCAAGAAGCCCAGGGTCTGGGGCATCCTTTATCCTTGTCTCTTCCTTTCCCAACCAATCCAGTTATGTCCTCATCTCAGATGGAGTGAATAAGCTTTCTTCACTTCTCCAAGGTCTTCCCTGGCCAGGTTTGCAGGGAACTCATTTTGATACGTTTGTGCAGGAAGCTGCGAGTGAAGTGAGCAGGTGAGAAGTTCATTCTCGTGTGTTTTCTCCATCCAGAGAAACTCCCAAGATCCTCCATTTTCCCAAATGGAGGAAAGAGGAGTGGATCCGAGGGTCCCGGGTTCATTGTTACCTGCATCACGTGAAGGGTTGCCCATGGCTTTGCCAATGCCAGTTATGCATCACTTACTAGGTCAAAAGTCATCAAAATGATCATGCCCTTAAGCAAAACGTTATTAAAAATTTTAAATGCAGTGAGTATTTATGGAGTGCGTGCTGTAGTCAAGGCATGGTGGTAGGTTCTGGGAATTCAAAGCTAAGAGGTAGCCAGGCCTAATAAGTGAAGCAGGCACGGAAATGCCAACGGTACTTCACTGTGGAAAATGTTCTGGCAGCAATAGGAGCTTGTGTGATGGGGACATAGAGACAGGAGAAGAAGTAAGAACTAAAATTATAATAGAAATAAATTAAAATAAATATTTATTGGGTATGCATTCTGTGCCAGGCCTCCATGAATGACCTTATACACTTCGTCTTACTTAATTTTTAAAATGGCCCAAGGACAGATGCTCAGGGTAATTCTTGCACACTGCCCAGCAAGGCCCTTCTGATGATGCTACCCAATGCCCCTGAATTACAAGGCTTTTCAGTCTGGCTGGCAGGGAGAAAAAAACACACAAAACAACCCCTTTCCAGCACTGTGTGAGCCCCAGGCACGGATCCTTCCGGACGGCTCTCCCCCAAGCACCAGGTGGTTCCCTCACCTGCGCTGGTGGAACCCTTTGTGGATCTCTGGGCTCCTCTGTGCAGCTCTCTTCCCTCTGTCCTGCAAACTCTAGCCCCTTGGCCTCCCCAGACTCTTAGCTCCGTCTTCCCAAATCAGGTTCCACCTGGGTTTCCCCAGCCTGAGCCACAGCCTGAAAGCTGGCCTACAGCAGCCACACAGCTCAGGAACCACAGGGCTCATTCCATGGGTTTCCGGCTTCTCTGGGGTCACTGTCTGACGCCCAGTTTGTTTGCTTTTAGTAGTTCAGGTGCGAAGGTAAAATATCTCTCTGCTACTTCATTTGAAATAGACCTCCCCCCCCTTCTACTGTATGCACTGTATGCATTTTATTTTTTAAAAAATTTATCTTTATTGTTGAAAGTAATACAGATGTACCTATTTCCCCCCATTGTCCCCTTCTAGCTGCCCATCTCCCCCCAGGCCTTCACTACACTATTGTCTGTGTCCATAGGTTATGCATATATGCATACAAGTTCTTTGGTTGATCTCTTCCCACCCACCCCCCCACCCCCCCCTTCCCCTTGAGATTTGACAGTCTGTTCCATGCTTCTGTGTCTCTGGATCTATTTTGTTTATTAGTTTATTTTGTTCATTAGATTCCACATATGAGTGAGACCATGTGATACTTGTCTTTCTCTGACTGGCTTATTTCGTGTTTTTTCTTACTGTGTGTGTGTGTGTGTTTGTGTGTGTGTGTTTTGTTTTTGTTTTAGAAGAATTACTAAGCACACACTGTGGGTTCTGTCCTTTGAGTAATCTTGAATGACTATAAATATTGTCAGTTGTCCTCAAAGCAGTTTATAAATGTGACGGGCTGGGAAGAATGTTCTAGGCAGATAAATACATTGCAGAAAGGACCGAGTGTGAATTCGAAGATGATGCCAGAGGGTCTGTGAAATGGCAAGAAGAGGCCTGAAGGGACTGGGTCCTCCAGAGAATGCCTTTTGGCATACGGGGGGTTGAAGGCTGGGTGGGACCCGAAAGCATGGAAAGGAAATGGGAGAAAAGCACCAGGATGAGAAGACACAGGCAATTACACTCCCGGGGGCCTATAAAACGACAGACCGCTCCGAATGCTCTCGCAATATAGTTAGCTGTTTATCCGGATCTGCCGGAGCCTGTAATCAAGGGCCTGCATTCTAAGATGGTCTTCCCATCAAACCGCCTGAGGACTGCCTTCAGGCGCCTGAGATAATGACATGGTGGGTTTGTGCATGTGATTTGCATTCACTTTGCAGACCTGTGTCTCTCTGCTGCCCCCTCAGCTACTTCTCCACTCACAGTTGGCACATGGCTTTCTTGGCTGTCATTTCCTGCATCTTCACTTCTGTTTCAGTAATTGGCAAGCTACAGTTCAGAACGAAATTCTACTTTGCACTATAATTGTAACAACCTCTTTTGTTTATATCACATCATCCAGTTTAATAACACGCCTTTGGACTGAGTATCATTTCTCATGGGATCAGAGGTCAGAGACAAAGATGAGGAAACAGTGCTCAGAGAGATGAAGCGATTTGCTTGGGGACACACTGTGAGGGGTGGGAAGGGGTGTGTAAGATGAAGCCTTTTAGAAGGTCTGAATGTCTGATTCCTTCCAGTTTGCTAGACAAATCCTTAGGTAGGGAGCCACAGCCACAGTCATCAGGATGGCAAGTGGTGGGGCAAACTGGGTTGTCATAGTAGCTGGGGATGGACACAGCCCAGCTGCCCATCTTTTTGACCAGTGGGATTCCTGCACCAGAGAGAGATCAGTAGCTGGCATCAGTATATGGTCTCTAAAGAGCCAGGCCGTAAATATTGTTGGCCTAGTGGACCACACCATCTCTGTTGTGATTACTCAACTCTGCCATTGTCCTATAGAAGCAGCCATAGAAAATTGGTAAGAAATGGGTGCGGCTGTGCCCATTTGTAAATTTTATTTACAAAACAGGTGGCTGGCAGAGTCTGACCCTGAACAAGGTGATTCTTTGGTTGTGGGAGGACAGTATGAAACTCTGATTTGTTTATTTTATCTCACTTTTTAACATTCTTGTTTTTGAGTATGTTTCATAGTGCACATGATATGTCAGCACTGGTACAGGTGTGTCACTTGTAGTAAACATGTATGGGCAGTACAGGCTCAGAAGCTTGTACTAGAGGTGATAAATCAATCACAGCTGACATTTAATGAGCAGATCCTTTGGGTCAGGCATTGCTCTAAACATGTTACATGCATGAATTTACTTAATCCTCACAGCCACCCATGAGGAAGGGACTACTTTCACCCTCCCTTTACAGATAAAGAAACTGAGGCACAGAGATGAAGCTATGTGATCCAAAAGCCTACGCATCATGAGTGCTGTGGTCCTGAGTTTGGGAGTTCAGGTTTGGGGCCCAGAGTATGTAGTGTTGGTTTAGAACAGGGGTGAGCAACGTCTGGCCCAAGGACCGTGTAAGGCCCACAAAATCGTGTGGTCTGGCCCTGCCAAGGCATTAGGATTGAGTTAATTAAATGTTTAACCAGATATAGCAAGATTTTTAAGTTCATAATTTTATATGACTTGCAAATGATGTTATAATATCCATATGGCCCTTGACAGAGAAAAGGTCCCCCCCTCCCCAACTGCTGGTCAAGAATGACACGGAAGCCCAGATTAAATAGTTCATGAACATCCACTCATGTCAGACGTCATGCTAGAAACACAGCATTTGCTAGCTCCTCTAGGTAGTCGCCATGAGAACGTGCTGTTCCTTAACTCCACAATAGCCACGTGAAGAAGCTATTATTTTTCCCGTTGTACAGACAAGGAAGCTGAGGTTCAGAGAGAGTAAGAATTGATTCAAGATTCTGCTGCTAGCAAGTGAAGAGGCTCTGTTGGGAGTGAGATCCAGCTTCTGCCTAGCTCTGAATATCCGACTCTTGGCCAACTCACTGCCTCTTGGGTCCCTCAAGTCCTCCACATTCTTGGGGTGTTGGTGTCCCAAGGAGTCCATGACCTCAGAGCTCACTCATTACTTGGTGGAGGGAGTCCCAGAGCACGTGGTCTGTCCTGTGCAGCCCTGAACTTCCTTAACATGAGCCTAGTTCTTCCCTAGGGATTGAGCCTGGGTTCAGACGTATGGGCTCAGGATATGCCAGACATGGTTTGCATTGCAGTAGCGAGTCTTGATAACTGAGATAGGAAGAGGAGGATGGAAAGAAGGAAGGACGGAAAGGAGTGAGGAAGAATGGGAGTCAGGCAGGATTGGCACTGAGCAAGGTACTTTCTAAGCTTTCGTTTCATTATCTATAAAGTGGAGGTGGTCACAGCCTCTACCCCACACATCTTGACTCAATGATGTTCTGCATATCAAGTAGATAGATGCTCTGCACCTGGGGAGCGGGGCGAGGCTTTCTCTTCTTTGCAGACATTTCTCACACGCATTCTGGGGCCTAGGTGAGACACAGAGAGCCTTTCCTCCACCCACATCGTGGAGAGAGTCTTAGAGAACAAGAGTCCACTTAGTGTCCTCAGAGTATGGTGTTGGCTGGGGTCTGTTGGGACCCCTAGCTATCCTCCTTTTTGGCCCAGGACTTCTGTCCTAATGTGTAAAGGTCTAGGCTATGACTAGTGGAGCCTAAGCTTGTCCTTTGCCTGGCCCCGTAGGTTGACCCTGATACCCAGGACCAGACCAGTGGCTCTGTCACCAAGAGAGGGTCAGACTTATATTACGATGGTGGGGGTGATGTCGGGACACCTCCTGACCCTGTCTACACCTCCATGTACCGTCTACACCACTTTTATTTAAGTTTAGTTGTGTTCTGCTTTTGTGAGTCACTAGCTCCTTCTTCCTCTCTCCCTCCCTTCCTTCCTTCCATCTGTCCATCCATCCATCCATCCATCCATCCATCCATCCATCTTTCCAGCTTTCCTTTTCCAATACAGCAAACACCCTTTGAGCAGTAACTCCGTGCTCTGTCTTCTATTAATGACTGGGCACCTCTGCTTTAGGATCTTAAGATGAGTTGGTGGAAATGAATAGGGGAGGAGGAGACAGAGGGGAAGAGAGAAATGAGTAGAGGGAAAGGTGAAGAGGGAAGACATGGAGGAGAAGGAAGAGGAAGGGAGACATGGGGAAAGGGCAGCAATGGGAAAGAGGTGGAGGAGGGAGCAGGAAGGGAAAGGGGACAGCAGAGGAGACCAGGAGAGAAGGGAAGGCAGAGAAGCAGAAGAAGGACAAAGAAGGAGGAAGAGGCAGAAGAAGGAAACAGGCCTCCGGTGCCCTTGGAGGCCCTTCCCCAGTCCTGCGTGGTTGGAGCTGGTGGAGATGTCTAGGCCCAGGTCTTGCCCAGGGGGCTTGTGAATAAATACCTCTGGGTAGGAGCAGATATCTGTAAACACAGCTGAGGAATTGAAAGTCAGGTTCTTCAAGGGTATCGACTTGTCAAAATCACACCACAGCTGCGGATTAAAAAAAAAAAAAAGAACAACAACAAAAAAACAAAAAACACAGGAACAACAAAGTCAGTGTGAGTGCTGGAAAAGGCGTCCTGTGCTATGGGCGCTGGGCTTCAGCAAGAGCCTGGGGCGGACCAGGCCCGAGGGGCATCACTGTGCCTGGCAGTGCCAGCGGGGGTCTTCTCTTTCACTTTAAAGAAAGCACTGGCTCAGAAGGGCATTGGCCACCCAGTGAGGACAGCGGGGAAGACTGCTTCGTGGCCCCATCACGGAGGGTCACGGGGGTGCCCGGGGGCTCAGAAGAGAGCAGCTGGGTGGCAGGAGAGGCCTGGGTGTGCTCACAGCCTGTCTCCACCTCAGCAGCTGGGAGGTGTTAAGGGACCCGAGGGGCACATGTTCCGTACAGACTCTTAGCACTGGGGTGGTGGGAAATTCAGAGCCCAGACATTTTGCAGGTGATGTTCATGGCGCTCAGAAAAGAACAGCTACCATTGGCAGAATACCTCCTCTGTGCCAGACACTCGGTACAAAAACTCCCTCACAATCCCCGTGTGATGCTGCTGCTCTTTTTATCCCCATTTACAACTGAAAAATAGGAAACTCTGAGAAGGAAAGTAACTTGTCCGGGTCACCGAGCTGATAAGCGGTGGAGCTTAGATTTGAACGCAGGTCTATCTGACTCCAACGCCTCAGAACCTCCACCCACACCACTGTGGCATGGCTGGCCCCACGGGTAACCCTGACCTTGAGTCTCTGGACTGATTGCCCAATTCTGCACCCAGAGTTATCTGATTTGTCAAGAGTAAGGTGCCAGCTACAACTCTGCATTCTGTGATCAATGGTCCTATGCACGTCCACGTTCAAGTACCACAATCTCACATCAAATACTCATGTGGCGCTGAATTTAACTAGACTATGATTCCCCTTTTCTTTAGCCCATCGAGTCCTTTACTTCAAGGCCAGCCGTAGAGCTCGAGCAGCATAGACTCTAAGTAAATACTAGGCCAACTTGCACAATACATTTCAGGTCATATAATCCTCTACTCATTTTCCTCATTCCTCTGTCTCCTCCTCGCCTATTCATTTCCCCCAGCTCATCTTAAAATCCTAAAGCAGGTGTGTCCACGCCTGAACTCGTGGATGCCCTCCTCAGACTCAAGGGGCCTGGTGATGGTTTCAGCCACCAGATGACGCCTCCACTAGCCTCTCTCCACATGCCAGGTTCAAACCCTGGGATCAGACAAACCACTCCTACCCTCCGCTCCGTCCCTAAGTCATAGACAACGCAGGCTGCTTGTATTTACACAGACAATGCTTACAGCTATCGTTACCATTCTACTGAGAAAATGAAATCATTGACACATGGGTCACCGAACTAAAAACAATGATAAACATGGCAGTTGGAGATTCATTGGAGTTCGATGTGTCACATCCAATAGGAGCTTTTAGAAAACCACAGGCAAGATGCTTAACCTTCCTGAGATGCGGTTTCCTCATCCATTAGGTGGGAACGGTAATACCTACCTGTAGCCCACAGTGGATGCTCAGTAAACGACAGCTACTGATCCCCATGGCCCCACTCCCATCCCCAGAGATACCATTCAGCAGATGAGACTGAGCATGAGTCATGGAGTCAGACAGACCGTATTAACAAGTTATTTCATGTCTCTGAGCCTCAGTTTCCTCAGCCATAAAGTGGGGATAATGAGACTTACCTCACGGGGTTTAGTGAGGATTAAATATGAAAACCGCACTGTGCACGGCTCCTCCTTCAGTGCGTGGCACACAGCAGGGGGTACTTCCTACACGGTGCCTGACTGACCCCTGCCGTCGAGTAGCCAGTGACGGCAGGAACTGCAGGGAGGCTGGAGGCCTTTGCAGCACAAAACTTCTCCCACTGGAACTGCCCAGTGAAATGCCCGGCTCTGGCAGTAGCCGCACCGTTGTGCTCTGTCCCTAAGCTTGGGGCTGGGCCAGGCACAAAGGTAACTGGTGTGGAGGGAGGCAATGCAAGACGCTGTAGCAGCTCCACAAACCCTGGGCCCCCGAGAGCATCCCGGACACTGGAGTGTGGGCGGGCCTGGGATGCTTACGATATTGAGGATGGCGCCCAGGAAGTTGATCAGGATGGATGCGAAGATGATGACGTTCCGGGCCAAATAGGTCTCGTTGATCCAGCAGCAAGTCTTCCGCAGGACGAGTGGCAAACACTTGTAATCCTCCGCCGTGGTGATGAGGACCAGAGCCGCATGCAGCATGATCAGGATGGAGAACTGGACGGCCATTGGCATAGCCCTGCAGGGAAACACAGCTGGGTCACATGGCTTCCATCCTCTTATTTCCCATTGGCTGGGTGATGCTGTCAGTCACAGCCATGATTGCCCTTCCCACCCTTGGTCCCAATAATTCCTCTAAATCTCTACTTGTTTTTAGAAACAGGCTATGGCAGGAAACATTTATTGTATCCATTCTTTTTAAAAAATATATTTTCATTGATTTCAGAGAGATAGGAAGAGATAGAAGCATCAATGACGAGAGGGAATCATTAATTAGCTGCCTCCTGCACGCCCCACATGGGATTGAGCGGGCAACCCGGGCATGTGCCCTGACCAGGAATCCAACCCTGACTTCCTGGTTTATAGGTCAGCGCTCAGCCACTAAGTCATGCCAGTCGGGCTTATTGTATCTGTTCTTAGCATATTCTTTTGATTGAGAAACTTTGCAGTGAACATCAACCACTTGGCTTGATGTCGCACTGCTGCTCAATTTCTGCACTTCCTTTGTTATTCATCTTTCTCACTAGGCCAGCGGCTGCCAAGGCAACACGACACTGGGATCTTATCTCACAACTCTGGCTGTGGGAGGGACCCACACGCCCTTTCCCCTTCAAGGCGGGTTTTATAAGACACATTCCCTCTCCATCTGGTCTGATGCCAAGAACCGAACCTGGCACCTGGTCCAAGTTGCTCAGCTTGGTGAGTGATCACCAAGGTTTGCATGGCATGTGCTGTGTGCCATTTAGTACGTGGGTGAGGATACAGTTGAGACGTGAGTACAGTCCTTGAGATGTGAATACATCCTTGCCCAAGGCTTCAACATCACTCCCAACTCTACATCCTGAGCTCAGGCTCTCACCAAAGCTCTTGCCGTGGTAGTTCCTGTCTAGTGGGTACCTCTGCTGGGGGTCAGGCTGCTCCTAGCCACTCAGTTTCTCTAAAACCCCATCTCTGGAGGTGTCTTTGACTGCTTCCTCTCCGTGGCAAAGGCAAGTTAGGGAATGTGGTCCAAACGGCAGGGTAGTGGGGGTACAGGGCGTCATGACAGCCGGGGGTAAGGCCTTTACAAGGAGGGAGTAGCCAGACCTCAGGTGCCTCTGCCCGGCCAGCATCAGAGAGGCTGGGAAGTGTGGCTCCAGCCCAGCTCTCCCTGTGGGAGGTTTTGTTCTTTTCATTCTTTTTAAATACGGCACAGTTTTGATATTTGGACTACCCTGGCAGGGAATCTGCAGGAGTTTTAGGTAAGAATGGAAGGTCTTTGCGGCAGTGGGTTCCCAGAGGGCTCCAGGCAGATGGGAAATTCCCCCAAACCCGCTGGTAACACACCATTCGTCCTGGGCCCCAGGGGGAGGCGATGAAGGAGAAAGCCAGCGGATCGCTGTGTCAGGCCATCCCAGGGGAGAGGACGTCCAAGGCTATTGTGTCTCATCATGTGAGGCAGCCACGGAGACTATGAACATCTTGTGTTAAGCCAACCAGGCAAAGGTGGTTAGAGAGCTGCCCAGTTCTGTGGCCTCCAGCTGCCAGCATCTGAAATCTCTGTGGGCTGCCTTTCCTCTCTGTCTCTCTCTCATCTCTCTGCCCCTCCCCTTCCCATCCATAGGCAACAGTCAAGCCCAGGCCCTTGGTGCTGAGCACAGTCTGCCTGCTTCCCCCCAGCGCTGGGGCTCCCTCTCCTGGGGGAACGCCTGCGCGGCCTCCAAGCTTCAGCTTTTCTCTGGATTCTTCCCGGACCCCTGGCATAGGGCTGAGAACATGGACGGTGCTCAATAAACACTCACTGATGGAGCTTCCAATGGGGAGCCGAGGCCGTTCCTCCCCTCGCCAGCCTTCAGGGGAAGAGTTCCGCCCACCCTCTCAGCCCCTCTGGCTACCCCCTGCTGCCTCCTCCTTCCTCCTGAAACACAAGGTCGCTGTTAATGTCAGTGTGCATGTGAATTCAGATGCAGGTCCCCTCCTCCTCCTAGACCAGTGGTCGGCAAACTCATTAGTCAACAGAACCAAATATCAACAGTACAACGATTGAAATTTCTTTTGAGAGCCAAACTTTTTAAACTTAAACTATACATTGTTATTAACTTAATTCGGGTACTCCTAAGGCTTAGGAAGAGCCACACTCAAGGGACCGAAGAGCCGCATGTGGCTCGCGAGCCGCAGTTTGCCGACCACTGTGACCTAGACTCACTGGGAGGGCCTGGAAGCCACAGCCTTGACCTCCCCTGTGGGAAGAAGTCTGGTTATCTCTTCTCTTTGCCATCTCTCCCCAGGCAGGGAACTCAGGTCGCCCCAGGAAGTCCCATCCCCTTCATTCATTGGCATTGGGGTGGGCGGGCGGGGGTGCCTTGCATTGACCTTTCCCACCATCACAGCAGGGAGACCCCACACTGGAGTTGGAGGGGAGAACGGAGAGGCAGAGATCGAGCTGAGAGATTCAGAGCAAACACCATGTGCTCTCCTCTCCTGACTGTAACCACATTCTGTGTTCCAGCTTTCACCATCGCTCTGCTTCAGCAAAGCCAGCGCTGTCTTGGGACTTTATGAAGCGGATGTTTGTTGCCCACGTAGCTGTTGTGCTTTCGTGTGTACTTTGGTGGGGTGTCAGGTGCACTGGAGGGCCGCGGGCTGTATTTGCCTAGAGAACCACCTGAGTGAGTCCCTAACAGAGTTTTAAGCGATCAGCACTTCCTGCTGGGCTTGCTGGATAAAGGAAAGGGAGGTGCTACAGACTGAATGTTTGTGTTCCCCAAAGCTGATATGTTGAATCCTGTAGCCCAGTGTGATGGTGTTTAAGTTGAGGCCTTTGAGAGGTGATTAGGTCATGAAGGTGGAGCCCTCAGCAATGGTGTTAGTGCCCTTAAAAGGAGAGCTCCCTCGTCCCTTCTGCCACAAGCATGTGGAAGATGCAGGTAGCTCTGTGTGAACCAAGAGACCTCACCAGACACTGGATCAGCCAGCACAGCACTTGACCTTGGACTTCCAGCCTCCAGATTGTGAGAGACAAATTTCTAGTGTTTATAAGCTGCCCAGTCTGTGGCATTTTTTAAAATAACAGCCTGAGCCGACTAAGACAGGAGGTGAGAGGCAGGTATATGGTCCCGCAGCAAGAGCTAAGCCTTAGGCAGGGTAACTCACTCTTCTGAGTATAAGTTTTCAAGGTGCAAAACTGGGTTTTTTTAAGCTCACCTCTTAAAGGAGGTTCAGCTGCTAAAGTAGTCACGCAGTGAAATGGTTTGCACATAAGAACTCAAAGAAAGGTTATTCTGTGTCTCTGTTCGTGGTGAAATTCAGGAAACCAAAGACGGTTTCAGGATCTATGGGAAGAGGATTAGTGACAAGAGAGGCTTCCTACTTGCATGTTAAATGCCTCTGGAGGGCCCTGCCACAGCTCCTCAGCATCCATTCATATCTACACAAAAACATGGTAACGCCAGGGTGTAATTTTTATCTACTCATAGAGCTCCTCAGGCACCCAGGGGCCCCGAGTTTGCTTTTGCATGGGTGGTGTACGGAAGAGGTGAGGAAACCTTTCATTTCTGAAACTGAGTCTGAAAAGGAATGACAAGGGATGTGCAAACAGCTCTGTCCAATCCTTCCTCGACACGGTGTTCTAATTGCTCTCTGCAGTCTGTCTGTATACAGGCCTGGGTTAGTATCACGATCGGATGTTTGCTGGGGAGGCAGGCATCGGTGGGGATGAGTGGACATCCAATAGCTGTTGTGGTGCAGTGGGAAACAGACCCAGGTGGTACTGATCCGTGACATTCGCACACCCTTTAGAACCTGCAAAGAGCCTAGGAGGCCAAGGCTCCCTTGATCCTCTTAGCAACCCTGTGAGGAAGGCATTCTTAGCACTTCAGTGGATGGAAACTATGGCCCAGAAAGGGGAATGGGGCCAGAATTGATCAAATGGCTCATTAAGTTCGGACATCAGCCCTGGGACATTGGCACTGTTATTCCCCTTTTATAGATGAGAAAACCGATCGAGCTGTTATACTCACTTGCTGCCTTCATGGGTGATGTCACATAAGAGGGAGGCCTATGTGGATTTTGGTCTATGTGTTTGTTAAGATTGGGGGAGGGCCTCTGGCCTTGGCAGAAGGATGAGCTTATAAGCAGAGGAAGACCACAGAAGAGACACTGATATCGCCACCCATGCGTCCTGGATCCCGGGATTTTAAATTCTGACCCCTTGCAAAGGTCGGCTGGCTGGCCCAGGCCAGGGACCATAGGCTCGCGAAGAGCTCTCCCCTGCCCACTGTGTCCTTGCGCATTTACCTTGAAGAAGGAAGCAAGCTCTGTATTGCCGTGATAAACAGAAGAACGATGAACGCACACACCAAGTTTGACTTGAACACTTCGTCCCTCATTTGAGAATACTGTGATCAAAAAAGAAGGAGAAATTACTTTCTGTCACAGTTGGGTGTTTGCAAGAGTTCAGTTTCACCAGTGTTTGGAGTTGGGGCGGGGGAAACAGCAAGAGGAGACAAAGCAATAAAGATTTTTTTAAAAAATTAAGAGGAATCCATCTCTTAGGAAACCCTTCACCAAGGATCGTCTCCCCACTCCCACCAGCCTCTTGCTGAGAGCCCAGGAGGAAATAAATTCCTTCCCAGGCACAGGGCCTGGGAGGGGGACTTGGCTTGAGCTTGTCCCTTTCTTCTCCCACCGAACTAGCATCATTTTAACAAAACAGAAGAGCACACACCCATATATTTAGCAAATCAAATTCACACTGACTTCCTTCATGAGCAAACTTAAGTCCCTTAAGGATCTTGCTCGATTTCTTGTTTGGTTTGGGGACACAGGGGAAATGTGTTACCCAGAGAGTCTTTCTGCCTCATTTTTCATAAAACTATTTCATAAAATAAATCCACAGACTCTTAGAACAGAAATTAGCCTCAGAGACCCCCAGCAAAGACAGCCCTTTATTTTTTTCAATCCTTTGCAACTTCCTTATTTAAAAATTTTTTTTTTCAATAGTAGCTTTGATAGTTTATTGGTTTGTTTCTAAAAGTAACCTTTTTTTCTTGATTGCAGAGTAATTATACAATTACCCAGTGTTGGAAAATATAGAAAAACATATGCACAAAAATACTTATACTTTCAGTACCCCAGAAATAGCACTTATTAACATTTTGGCTTATAACTTTCTTGTCATTTTTTTCTTTTGTTAAAAAAAATTGCATTGAGGATCCGTTTTTTAAAAATTAACTTACATTTAAATGGAAAAAGGGCAGCCCTTTCATTTCACGCGAGAGAAACCAAGACTGATGGACCCGTAAGCTGGATGCCCTCTGTGTCTGCTGCAGGCAGCCCCGGGGAACAGCGCTGACTTGATTTTGATTATCCAGAGAACTCGGTAATCTCATTACCCAGCCTTAAAAGCTTCTGGAAGGTCGGTGCTCAATGGCCGAGTCCTGCCTGGTTTCCAGATTCACCTTGGAGTCATTAAATGGAAGAATAATCCAGCCCCCTCAGAGAGAGGAAAGGAGTTTGTTTTTTTTTTGTTTTTTTAAAATATATTTTATTGATTTTTTTTACAGAGAGGAAGGGAGAGGGATAGAGAGTTAGAAACATTGATCAGCTGCCTCTTGCACACCCCCTACTGGGGATGTGCCCACAACCAAGGTACATGCCCTTGACCAGAATCGAACCTGGGACCCTTCAGTCCATAGGCCGACACTCTACCCACTGAGCCAAACTGGTTAGAGTGGAAAGGAGTTTTTAAACCAGAAAAAGACCTTGGAATTGGCCTAAACCAAGCTTCTCCTTTTACTAGTACCTTCATGCCAGAGAGGCCTAGTAACTTGCCATGGATCACACAGCATACAGATCATGTTCAGCGGGGGAGGGGGGGCAGTAGAGGGAGGGGGCGGGAAGCTAAGCCTGGCTTTAGAACCTTGTAGCCCCTGATTTGAATTTCACAGAGTTGCTTTATGAAGGAAGTCAGGACATTGAGCTCTCACTGTTGTGAGCTCATTCTCTGCCCCCAACAGAGAGGTGACCATCACCTTCTCTTGGTGGTCATGCCGAAGAAACCATACCTCTTGGTGGTACGGTGGTCATAGCCAACAGTTACATGATTTTTGTTCTCTTGCCTGCTTCTTGGTGTGGTCTGGGTTTCAGATCAAAATTGCTGCTCACTGTCACGGCTAAGATTCAGGGAGGGCAGTGGTCTGCAGCTGGTGAGCTCCGTGGAGCTCACTGCTCAGAGGTGGCTGGGCAATGCTTTTTCACTCCCCAGACCTCAGGCCTCTGCCCATGTTCGGATAGCTTGCTTGGTATCCAGAGAAAACCAGAACATGCTCCGAAGAATCACTGTAAGCCATTGTGACTCCTGGCAATGCCATAGAAAATCCATGCTACTAATAATCACAAAAGTGCTTTCAATGAAAGGGGCACAATCATAGAGACCCACACACACCAGCTTGAAAATAAAGGAGTTAGCCACAGAGCAGTTAATTCAAAGGAAGATACATGTCTCAATTCCTCTTAACAATGAATTGCACAAGATGGAATTATTCTTTGTTGGCTGACTGATTAATTTCAAACTGGTTTGGCTATATAGATTTGATCTTGAAAATTTTAAAACAATACTTTTTAGTGTACTTAATCCCTCTCTTCCTCCTTTTCATCTTCATCATTATCATCATCATTGTCATTGTCATTAACTCATTACTATCACTGTCACAGCATCTTGCAGTTGTAATGGGCCTCTGCCTTCAGGAATCCTTTCCATAACACCCCTGATATGGACTCAAATGCGTACTGATATCTCCAGGTGACCTTCTCTGCTTTGGTGGAGGAAGTGGGCTTCTCTTTTCAGAGCTGGGGCAGGATGTCCTAGGGCTTGGAACACCCTCAACTTGAACACTCCCAGTGCCTGAGAGCTCACTCCTTTGCAAAGTGTTCTTTCCATTATTGGCCCATTCTCCCCATGAGAGGTCCTTATAGATACCTGAGTCTCTGACTCCTTTAAATTTTTCTTACTGATGACTTTCAAAATGTTACATGATCATTATGCGTCCAATCTACAGTTGCATCAGATCTTATGTTTTTCATTTTCTTCCCATGGCAAGCTGGGGAAGACAAAGTGGGAAGACTTGCTTTGCCTCCAGATTTCCCCTGTCAGTGTCTCCCTGTGAGCAGTACCTGATCCAGGTGTAAATGGGGTTCAGACCAATTAAAAGCGCATGACGCTTGGCATCAATTACAACGGCTTCCTTTGAGAGCGTAGATTAGAATTTGATTATTATTTTAGAATCTCTAGGGTTTTCAGGAACTGGCCAAAATGTAATATGAAAAGTTTGAGTGATAACAATGGATAATTAGGGAATTTAACCTCTGTTCTATTGTTTATTCACGCATTATGCACCCACTGCAAGGAGGCACTATGCTCCGTGCTTTACATGGATGATCTCATTTAATTATGACAACACTTCGAGGGAGATCCTATTTATCATATCCCCATTTTGCAGATAATGAAATTGAGGGTTAGGGTAATTCAGTAACTCAACCAGGACTTTACAGATTATAAGTAGGGAATCCTGAGAGTTTGTTCCCCAGCCTGAGGTCTCCTTGGCTGCTCCACTTGCTGCTATCTTGCTATTTTCAAGGACAGGTCATTTTCTTCACTGGGCACACAGTAGTGTATCGTGACATATTTCAGTGATGTGGTTTATGGAAGTTTCTGACTTGATTAGATTGACAGTAGGGTTCCCTTCCAAGGAAGTAAGAGGGGATGGTGGGGATGTTGGCCATGGATGCTCTTAGAAGGCATCTTCAGAGATGACATCAGAGCCTTGAGGATCTATGGGTTCATGGATCTGTCACAAGGAAGCCAGGAACACAGGTTTGATCACACAAGGAAAAGCCCGTCTGGATTCTTTACCCACAGAGGGATGGCCAGGGGAGCCAACCTACAGAGGTGATGGACAGAGTTTCTGGTCTTCTGTGCTTCTGTGTCTAAGACAACCCAGGACATCTTGGTAGGTGTGTGGGAGGAAAATCACCCTCCATGCCTAGGTTCTCCCCTTCGCCTAGGACCGTGGTCGGCAAACCATGGCTCTCGAGCCACATGCGGCTCTTTGGCCCCTTCAGTGTGTCTCTTCCACAAAATACCACATGTGAGCGCGCACATACAGTGCGATTGAAATTTCGTGGCCCATGCGCAGAAGTCGGTATTTTGTGGAAGAGCCGGTATTTTGTGGAAGAGCCACACTGAAGGGGCCAAAGAGCCGCATGTGGCTCGCGAGCCGTGGTTTGCTGACCACGGGCCTAGGAGGTACAGAGGACTTACAACTCCACAAGATGTAGGGATGCTTCTAGCCAAAGCAGTTATCTCGTTAATGCTGCCACCTGCAGCCATACTTTTGTCCAAGTGTGCATGCGAGCTTACAGAATTTTATGGGTGGAGTGGATTGTATTTGTTGCCTTGGTCTAACCCTTCTTATTGCCGATTTCACTCAGTAAAATCTCACAGAAATGAGCCGTTAGCTCCTGCCTCCAGATTTCCAATGATAGGGGAAATCAACCACTCACTTGAGAACCCATTTCATCTTTGGATAAATCTAGTTTGCGAGAGATAATTTCCTAGCATGTCTTTCATTAGCATAAATTAATATGTTTGTTAAATTAAAGAAGAATCTCAACAGGGACAATCTGCTCATTTTTCATGAGTAAATGAGGGAAGTTAACCTCATTCTATTGTGAATTCACGCATTACCGTAGTGCGGCAATGGCTAGAACCTCCTTAAATTGGACCATTTGGGTAAAAGGCATAATTGCAATAAAAATGCAAAGGAATAATTTCGTATTTTGAAATAGACTGTCTTCCCTAGCTTAGTGTCTAGTGTCTAGCCAGAGTCGTTACCAGAGCGGTTCTGTGAGTGACAGGTGCCTGAGGAAATCTCTCACGGCACACTTCTTTCTGAGTAACTCGCTTTTGCACAAACGTGGATTTCCTCATGTTTGGTAGACTCACAAAGAAACACATTAACATGTATAAGATGGAGAGCCCCAGAAGTGTGAGGCTGGAAGGATCTCACCCCAGGGATAAAAGAAGACCCTTAATGGCAATATATTTCCTTGTGCTGTGCTGTGCCTTGGGGGTGGGGTGGTAGTGTGTGTGTGTGTGTGGGGGGGGTGGGGGGGATGGAAGGATGGTTGACTGACATAGGAGAATCCCAAGCAGAACTTTATAAAGCTTCCAACCCACCACTCTTCCAGCTCCCCCTCCCCAAAACCTCCCATCCTTGGCAGGAGGACTCTTCCTTCCTTGACTGGTCCGATCCCCAAGCCTGGTGAGGCCATGGGAGTGACAGCTAGTCCCGTGTTCCTCAGAGGGCAGGAGGAAGTGACGTGCAGCCCAGGACAG